ATCCTCAAACTTCGCAAATTTATATTTTTCTCTCACACTTCCAGTCAGGCAACAGTCCTCGACGAAATGCTTTGAATCGCCGAATTTATTACCAACTTTACATATATCATTTTCCTGGAGGTGGAACCTTTTTAAGTAAGCAGGGAACATTCCATATGCAGTGAGAATTTGATTAACATCTGCATCTCCTAAAATTCCCATTTTGTTGCTAATTTTTAAACATTTTAATAGTTTTTGTTTCTTTCAGAGAGATCCCATAAATTTTTACAGTCTCTAACAAGCTTGTCATATATTATAGTACATGTCTTCTTTTTCGAATCTTGAATAAAAACCTTTTCGGTCCCAACCCCCAGGGAGGCTTCTTTCGCTAGAGCATCCGCTCTCTCATTCCCATAATGACCAGCGTGAGCTTTGATCCAATGTAAATTCAAAATATGCTACTTTCGTAGTTCTAAATATATACGTATTATTTCATTAACAATATTATTCTTTTGAAAGGGGCGAGAGAGCGCCATAAGAGCAGATAAGGCATCTGAGTATAAATTAATGTAATAGGTCCACGGTTCGATTCCCAGTGAAGGTGTTGCTAATTTTTCATCTCTCCGGCCTCAGAATAACCAAATATCTCCACAAGTTGACCACTGTTCTGGCCGACCTTCCGAAGTTGATGATGAGAAAATTAAACCCATAACAGAAACGAATATTCATATAACTATGCGAAATATTGCAAAAAGGTTAAGTGTTTCACATACAACAATTTAAAATCACATAAGATGTCTTGGACCCGTTAAGAAACTCGATATTAGGTTCCACATGACTTGAAAGAAATTCATTTAACGCAACGAATCAATATTTGCGATACGCATTCTAAACATAATGCAGTCAAATCTTATTTTGAAACGAAATATCACTGGTGATGAAAAATGGATCATATACAATAACATTAATGGGAAAACATCATGGTGTGAGCATGACGAACCAGCACAAATCATATCGAAAGCTAAATTGCATCAGAAAATGATCATGCTTGAATTAGGTGGGATTACAAAAATGTCGAGTATTTTAAGCTGCTGCCAAGCAGCCAAACGATCAACTCAGATGTTTAATACCAACAGCTTATGAAAATAGAGAAGGCAAGCAAAGAGAAAAGATCAGAATTAATCAAGTCGCAAAGGAATCGTGTTCCACCACGACAACACTAAGCCTCCTACATATTTAGAAATATGCACGAAATGATTAGAGTTTGGGTCGGGAAGTGATGTCGCATCCTCTATAGAGCCCCATACATTGTACCATTGGATTAACATTTATTTCGAGTTTTATAAAACTTCTTAAACTGCAAAATTTCAATAATAACGATGACCACAATTCGCACTTGGACTTGGCTGAGTTTTTTGTTGATAAAGATCGTAAGTTCTATGAGTGCCGAATCATGAAGTTACCAGAAAGATGGCAAAAGGTGGTCGAACAAAATGAAAGATATTTGATTAACTGAAGTTCCTTTTTTGTATAGAAAAAAATGAGTTTTATTTCCAACTAAAAAAATCGAAGTTATTTACTTAACCCGATACCTAGCATAACTGAATTGCAGGATTATTGCAAAACGATGTTATATTTTTAAATGTAAATATCGTTTTAACAAATTTATGAGGAAAAACGCATTCTATACATATGTGCTGTCGTTAGGTAAGTGGTTAACACATTCATCTGAGTAATGGAAGATAAGTGGTAGGAAGTATGACGAGCGTATCGCTGAGTTTTCTCGTTTCCCTCCGTCGAAAATATAAATATCTTCACAAATATCAACTTCATTGTTGGTGATCGAAAGATTTCGAACCCTTTTGCTAATTTCAGAGTTTTTCTAGTTATTGGAGATTAAACTCCAAATTCTTTTTCTCCAGTACAGGAGATTTGGCTTTATAATGTTTAACTTGAACATCTCTGAAGAAATATTAGTTTTTATAATGAAACAGTTTAGTTTCTGTTTAAAATAGAAATTATATGCAGGGGCAAAGTTTAATTATGCGCGACAAAAAACAAACAATTAGCAAATAACATTCAAATTTATTTTGTCAGATATGTGTATCAAAGAAATGTCAGATAAATTTTCAGGTAAATGTCAGATAAATTGCGAGATAAATACCAGATAAATTTAATGCACGGACGTTTAGTTATGAAGGTACAAAAGATGATTTTCAGTCAAAATTTCGATTTTTATTATTTTAAAGAATACATCTTTAGCTATCAAATACAAGTTTTTGCTTGTTGATAGGTTAATTAGAACTGAAGTTATAAGCATTTTTCTGTAGTGGGATAAACCGGAAGTTCCAATATTCTGGGCCGGAAGTGAGAGTTTAAATAGACATACCTATTTAGAAACTTTATCATCAAGATTTTGTAAATTATAAACCTTCGTACTAAGTTTAGATATTTTGTAATACATTTTAAGAATCTGGCGGTAGTTTTTTCCCTTAATTTCGTATTTAGTTTGGCGCAGAGGGTATTCGACGATGAATGGACGTGTTACTGCTTTCTCGATTAGCGTTGACAAAGTGCTTGATTCGAAGGCTATGTCACATTTTTGCATCATTTGCAACAAAATAAACAAAATGGAATGCAATATTCAGCACGACATGTAGTTTATAATATATATAGCGTAATATAATTGTTCTGCAAATTATAAAAAAGCAGCTGGTGTATAAAAAGTATGGAAGCAGTTGGTGCTTATCCGCTTTTTGAATGACCTATTAAATTACGAAAGCTGAAGTACACGGAGTATTATGAGGATGGGGATTCTAAGCGGTTTTTAATTGGGAAAAATATTAAATTTTTAATTGGGTAAAGATTCGGTCAAGAAACTGGAATGCATTGGACATGTACAGAAAAGGGTTGGTAGTAGACTACAAAAGGTAAAAAACTCTACTCCTGGATTGAAAGGAAAAGGTAAACTGACTAATTCTTTTATTGATAAACTGCAGAATTAGGGATTGCAATTAAAAGTAATGTTGGAAACTTAATTGAGATGCAGCAGGCTGTACTAGCTGCTTGTTCCATCGTAGCTTTTCTTCGAAGCCAATGCCCTCCCCAATCAACGAGTTGGTGCAACAATGAATGTGCGATTGCAGAAGAGCTTGGTTTGGTTTGGATTATTTAATTATGGCAAAGCACACTAGGGCTATCTGCCTAAGGGGAGGGATGCCTTTGTGGAGGACTTTCTAAGGGAAACTGGCTGTGATTGCAGAAAAGAAAAAAATCAGCCAAAAACCACTGGTATACCAACATATATTTTGAATTTAATTAAACCTACATATATGGAGTTATTAAAAAAGTGCTTACATGGCAAAACTCAAAATATCAAGGAACGTTTTACTGGCATTTTATTGCAAATTGTTCCGAAAGAAACATTCATAAACTCGCGAACATTAATGTTTGGAGCATATGTAAGTGTTGTGTTATTTAATGTTATTTAATGATGTATTTATAGGTTTGCTTGAAGCATTTTCAAGGTTAGGTATGTGTCCTGAATTTTACACTGAACAGGGAATTCGAAAACTTGATAAAGTGCAAAATCATGACTCTTGGCGGCATTCCGCAAGCTTTACAAAAACCCAAAGAAAAATATTACGCTTTGTTTCAAAGAAAAAGCGCAATGTGTGTAAAAAAAAACAAGGTGTCAATTACAAAGCAGGGGATTTTAATTATCAAGGATGCTTTTTTTACTAAGAAATTGTTTTATGAAAACTGTAAACTTGTTTTCTGAAAAATGTTTTTCTCTGTAAATATTGCCACTGATAACAGACATAATTCAAAATTTTATGGATAAAACTAAATGATACTTTCTATGCATGTTTCATATAACCTGATGTATGATCTGAAACGGAAGATTTTAGAAATATTAATTAGAAGTTGAATTGTTACTTTTTATTTTTAGATTTTGGATGCAATAATAGGAAAATATGCAGTAAATACTATATATTTTGACATATCTCAAGAGCATATGAGTATTTCTTAATTATTTTGCTTCATTGCATACAAAACAAGTGTAAATATAAATACAAATTAAAAAAACTGCATATTTATATATACATTGTTCACCGTAGTTGTTGCCATAAAGGCAAAATTTAAGCAAAGATTATCATTTTTTTCATTATTTTTCAAAATCAAAATTACTTAGCATTACGTTTTAAGCTGTTTTCGCTCATTAATATGCTTATCTTCAAATTAATACGTTTATAGTTAAAATAAAAATCATTTTTTAAAAAATGGTATCCGAACGAGGTCGGATACCTTAAAAAGAAACAAAGTTGACTTTTACGTGCATATATATTTCGTGAAACAGCTTAAATAATATTTAAATCAAAAATACAAATACCAGAATGTATCTAAATTAAAGTTGAAAATATAGTGTGCTGATTAAGCCTGTATGATTTTGGAAATTGTTTTAACTCATCTCATTAAAACCACGTGAATCTTCATTTTTATTGTACCGCTCTAAAAGTTAATCAGCATCAAAATCTTAATAGAGAGGAGCTATTTATTGCTTTAAAGTGGTTTCCTCAAACTGTTAAAACATCCATCGCTGACTTTTACATCTGCTACATGAAAATTTGCAGAGTGTGTTTGTTCACTAACAAGCTAAGAATTGCGCCTTCAGGAGGATTAACGCTAAGAAACTGGAGTATAATAATTACAGTTAATAAAAAAATTAAAAAAGATAAATAGATTATGAATTGATTTTTTATCTCTTTTTATTCTGTTAGAATCCACTCTCATTTTTATCGTTTATGTTGTATTATGTTTTTCTGCTGGAAAACGAATGTTTTATTCAATAGATGTTTAAGAAAAGAATGAATGGATGAAAAGAGTGACAAGAGGATTTTAATTTCCTTATTTAACAGATCTATTGTTTAAGGAAGTAATGTTTACATAAGGAAAATTTAATTTCTTCCTGAGGAAAAAGTAGTCTTTTAGAAACTTTATATGATATTTATATCGAAAAATGCCTCAGAATAATTCTACGCACAGGAATGGATTGGGGTGTAATTACTCATTTAATTTGTTTCTTTTGTTTGCTCAGCTACGTGTCAGCAAATAATGGAACACGTTACCTTACAGTTAAAAGAAGTCTTCGTAAGTAAAATATGTTATTTATTATTTTAATGTTCTTAATTTGTAATATAAATCTCATTTTATAAAAAATATAAAAAGATAAATAAAATTAAAATAAAGTTGTTATATTCTGAGATCGGATTCCAAAATCGTTTGAAATTTTTTCATAAATAATGAAATATATGCCATTTGTATCAACAAAAATACGCATTATTATTATTATTATTTTGTTGTTATTTTGCCATGGTTTGCGCGTGTTCTGTAAATTATGTTTGCATCAATGTACAAAGATTTTCTTCTTAGCCATTCAATTTAAATCATTCAATTTCCTAAATCAGAAAGAAATAAAAAAATAATTTAGTAAGAATAACCTGATGGAGTGAAGCATTCAAGAGACACATCTGCGCAAATTTCAGACAGTCATTTTTTTAAAAATTAAAATTTTGGGCTCTGTAATCAAAATTTTTTACTCCTTGCAGCTCCGTCATCCGTCATCTAGTACTCAATAACAGATTACCGTGGGTGTAACACGTAAAATATCTTGATTCTATATCTTACCCTCTAGCAAATCCACGTTACGGAGAGCATCGTTTTGATGGGAAGCTCCGCCACAATTGATGCGACTGTGGTACCGTGTAGCCACAGAAAGAATTATTCTATATCGTGCTTAAATTTGGAGAATTAAACTATTGTCATTTGCGTTATCTGTTAATAACCGTAAAGTAAACACATTTATTACCAGTTTGTGAGTAACTATCTGCTGCAGGTGTCCAAGTTCTTGCGGTATTAACTCATTCTGGACATAAGAGTCGTAAGATAAGTAGTTATTATTTGGTTACACAAGTGTGTCAGTCTCTCATAAAGTTTAGGCTTTCTAAACTCATACAGATTTTGGTTTTGAGAGACGTAGAGTAATTGAGCTTTGTCATTTGTTGCGCCTCGGCAGCTTTCTGAACATTCATCTTGATACTCCTCAGCGCTGCACCAGTGGCCAAGAGGCCGTATCAGCGGTCGTCTGACTCGAGTTCGAACCCAAATGAATGCGCTGGCTGAATAGCTATTATTCGTGTTTTCTCCATGTATAATCGTCAATACCCCACAGTTTTCCTTAGAACGTTCTCCAAGAAGGCCTCCCTTCCTTTAGGCAGAGAGTCCTTGTTTGATTTCCCATATCTAAATAGAGGTTCGAATCCCGCGAACGGGCTGGCTGCATGGGCGTTTTCGTGGTTTTCCCCATGTGTAACGTGTATACGAGCCAGTTTCCCTTAGAAAGTCCTCCACGAAAGGCATCCCTTCCCTTAGGCAGATAGCCCTAGTGTGCTTTGCCATAATTAAATACACCAAACACACCAAACACCCATATCTAAATAACCTAATCTAATCTGATAAGCCTAGGCAAGTAAATAATAATGTCTGTTACACCTAATAGTTAAAAAACTGAATATGATACCCGGTAGTGGATTTTCTTGTTCATCTTTTAACCGGTTGAGTTGTATATCATTCAACAGAAGTGTCATCTTTGCATTGATGTTAAAGGATAAACACAGTTAAAGGAGCAAATCATGCAAGTGAAGTTTATACAATAGTTCTGATAATGAGATTTCTTGGCCAAGATACTAACTCAACGTAGCGGATGGCTAACCAGTTGCTAGTGCAAGCAAAAAAAAAAAAAAAAAAAAAAAAAAAGTATCAGTAACGAGACATCGTCGTTTGGATTATTCTAATAACTAAGTTTTTCACACACAACTACTAGCACTTCGTGCTGCTCTATGTTATGCAAATAGGTACTTTATAATAATTCGATTATTTATAGTGCTTTTTTACTGTATTAATTGTACGAAATAGACAAAAAGTTTTGTAAACTTTCTTTGAATGTAAGACCTCGTTTACATTAGTTTGATACTTGGTCGTGAGATATTATTATTAATGATCTTACAAGCTACTTAGCTATCATATGATTATTCAAATAGGAGAAAAATCTGACTACCTTTACCTGTTTCATATTTAAAACGAAAAACACAGCAACATATCTTGACTAAATGGCAGGAGCATTAACAAGTCGGGCAAAAGGACTCACCATTTCTTCCTAAAGTACCCTTTTTTTTACAATGTCGTTTATCGACATTGTGTGGGGAAGAAACTTCGATTATTTTGATTGTAACATTACCAGATAATCTCATTTAAAGCCACCTTCTCCAGCAAGTTGAGCAGAATGGACATTCAGCATTATAAAGTAATGAAAATGCCCTCATGAAAAGAAGCAAGGCCATGTCCCATTGCGCAAATTTGTATTCAGATTTTTATCATCATTAATAAAATAATGCATTTTCAGTGTTTTCTGCTGTACTAATGTTTATTTAAATTACATTATTAAAGTTTATTTAAATGAATTGTACTGCGCCTAATGTTTATTTAAATTACTTTTAATTTAACTTGATCTTTATAAACTTGTAGAGGTACTGCAATTTTGAAGTTGTAATTGTATACTTTTGGTACTAAGATTGGTGTTTTAGTTAATGCCATAGAAAAGCCATATTTTATAATAACAGTCTCGGAAAGATTATAGTCCTATTTTATATTTGTTTATTGGTATTGACAATAATATAGTGATAGTCACTAACATTTATAACAATAATTTACTCATCATAACATATTAGACATTGTATTTTATTAAATTTGGTTTAAATTTCAGTTGTTGTAATTTGCCGTCATATAGCTGGCAAATTCCGTTCTCAGTAGCATTCCATATTGTTTCTTTATGAATTTGAGCATCATTTTGTAAAAGTTTTAAGAAAAATAATTAACTAGTCTGAAATTATTAAAGTGTTAATTGAGTAAGCCCTAAATGGGTTGTGCTGGAAAATGTATATTTGTGGTATTATTGCTTGAATTGTTTTTTTAAAATTTTATGTATGTTGAGTCTGACATAATGTAAGAGTTTTCCCTTGCCTAATTTCATATTACTTTATTGTCAACAACAAACTGTCAACAATCGATTGTCAACAATTGTGTATCATGTTTTAAATTTTTCTAAGTAGTCTTTACAGTCCTGGATTCATTTTACTCTTCTCAATGTAATGTTTTTGATTTTGTTTTCATTGATCACCTAGCCTTCCATTTCAGACTTTGCTGCGGTTTAAATTACGTATAGCTTTCCTCTGACTGGACGTGAACAATTGCTTACTTTACATAGCTTGAAAAGCTATTTAATGGTTGGCGTAAGTATGATAATTACTTGATTAAAATGGGGCAACGTGCAGAAATTTCACTAAAAAGATTCCAGAAATAAACAATAATAGTCTAATGTCAGTTTGCTTGAAAAATGTCTTATTTACTTTACCCTCGTTAATATAAACATGCCAGATTATTTATGAATTGAATTTCTTTGTTTCATTTCGAATATCGAACTCATAAAGATACATGTCAGAATTATCAAAACCGAAGCTTTCAGAATCAGATATACATTTTGCACTTACGATCTCTGTAGAAAATATTAACTTTAGATATTCTAAAGTACGCAATTCTTGATATTTTGTTCCAGCGAAATCATATGCTGAAATTACTGTAAAGGGCAATTACTTCAAATATTAATATTCAGATGATTCTATAGTTTAAATATTAAATGGAGAGCAATACGGATAAATATTGAATAATGAATAAACTAAGTAAAATTATTTCAGTTAGACTTACTAAAGCATAAATTTAAATCTAAATTAATGTAGAATTGTTGTATATAACTTAAATTGCTTTTTTGTGCTTTGGAGGGCTTAGTGCAAAGAATTTGAAAATGGTTTGAAAGAACATACCTCTTTGTGCAAGGCTGTCGAATGGGTAGGTGTTCTGAATTTAGGGAATCTGAATAATATACGAGTATATATATATATATATATGAAATCATTCCAGGTGGTGATGTGTATACAGAAGCTTTGGAAAAAGTTTTACGTTATATCTTTAGCGCCATTTATTATTGTTAGGATTGGTTTTGGAGATGGAAAAGGAATAATAAACAGCAGACTGCCTACGGGGCTATTATTTCCTAAGCGTTGTTTCATCTAATGTCGTTCATTCACAGCCGCGAGCGGGGATAGTGGCAGAAAAGGTTAGTTTCTTCCAGGGCGAAGTAGTTGGCATTATTTGTTCCTTGCACCCGTGATTCTAACGAGTATATCACATATAAGGCCGCGCGTCGCTCTAAAAGAGATTTTCCCGAGCAACGATTTTTTCCATTATTAATTTGAAGGGAAGGCTTCTAACCGAAATAATATAGCTCGACGATGTGTTGCATGTGCTTACCTGGCACACTGTAGGAAGCCGGGGAGAATATTTTCCTACAGTTTTGTCTCATGTAGGAGAGGAAAAACGGAATAGACTTCCGCGTGATCTTCAAGATGTTAACCAATCAAATTTGCTGGAAGCGGAGTTTCCCGGAACTATTTCTTTTGAAGCGCAGTTGGGGTTAGCTAGCAAGTTTGATAACGATTTAATTGACCTTCGAGTGTGGGTGTGACATAAGACTCGACCAGTGTAAGATGACACGAGACATGAGGGCGTCAAGTATCAGTTGTGATTAATACTTAAAAAAAAGAGATGAATAGTGAAGATTTTGTCATAAAAGGGAAGAAGAAAGACGCTGAGTTCGGAGATGTCCTGACGAGTTTTTACAAAAGGAAGAAGCAACAAAAGGACAAGCAAAAGTAAGCCTGACAGCTCTAATTTGGGAAGATTTAGAGTCTCTGTTTCCGATGAGCAAGATAGTGATAGTGACGGAGGACGTGGCCACCACCCCTTTACTATTAAGTTAATTAGCATATAGGGCCACGTCCGCCCTTATCCAGAGTAAAGCCAGAGAGGCCACATGGGAGGCTTGCACAAGACGCCCAAACCCAACGCCTGGACTATCCGGTTGGCAGTTCCGCGAACCAAATGCCGCCTGGTAGACACCCGTCCAAAGTGCCCGGGTCCAGTGATTATTGAATCTTCAAAAATAGCATTGTACATGGCTAAACAAGGGCAGATATACATTAGTAGTTATTTACATGCTTCTGAGGGACTCCTCGAGTGATGTGTTTGTTTAATTATGTTTAAACTTGCTGTGGGCAATCTAGACATGAATTTGAATATATTTAGCCCAGCCAAAACCAATTAGGAAATTTCAATAATATCGAGCAGGATTTAATAAACAGTTTTCTTCTGATATGCCGTATAGCATACTTACTGCCTGGTAAAATATTGGCCGCTCTGGCAGCCGTCCTGCAGAGATCAGCGATGCAGAAAAGTGTTTGAAAGAATGACTGGTTCAGGAATTTGATTAAATATGCTACGTTTGGATTTTCAGGGTGAATTTTATGCCCGGCATCGTTAACGTCTTCCTTTGTCTTAGGTATAGATGACAGTTAAGTTTTGCCTGCGGAAGTGAAGTAATTAATACACAGCCCGTTGGTAATTGTTGTGATAAATCTGAATGCCCTATTTCTTGATATGGATTTTATCGTTCTAATTTTGAAAGCAGTAAATCCTAGACTTTAAACTTGGTATAAATCTATAGGTACTTGACAGAAGTATTAAATAGTGCTGTTTGTATGCGCTTTTGAGAAATACTGCGTAAACAAAGAGTTCTGTTGAAGGGTTAATTCATATGAAACTAAGATGTATATAGATTAGCTTATAATATTGTAAATTAAATCTTTAAATATGTCAACTTAATACACCATCTTGCAGCTCATTAAAGACTAAAGTATTTATTTGGAAACTAGTCGATGGTCAAATGTTTAATACTAAATTGAAAAAGCCAAAGAAACAGAAATAAACCAGATAATATTTACTATTAATTCCTTGGTACAATTGACTAACGAAAACGACGTAAGCAGAACTACTTCTTCGAGAACAAATACAACAGATATAGCTTGGAATTCTAAAAGCAGGTAGTGCTGATTATACTGCATCTGTGAGTTGATGAATAGCAACTTCTGTCAATACATATTAAAAATATTATGTAATCAAGGATTTAGCCTTCAGCCAGCTACAAGAACAGTATGGATTCCAGCTTTGGACAGTTAGTAAATACCGAAAGTTCAGTCATGTAAAGTTGTATCTATTCTCAGTGTACGAGGTTCTGTTACGCATTTATCATTTATGTTCCGAGCACATCTATCATGCAGAATTTTAAAGAATGAATACTTCGTGTATTTGAAATCAGGAGACCTTTTGTTCCATTTCTTACTTTACTCATGCGTTTACTGCGATTTCGTCCTATCTAACACGTCCTATTGTTGATCGTACCAAATTCATTAAAAGCCACGGATCGTTTGTGGGCTCAACAAATGAACTTTGGCAGCATGCTTAACTGCACGGAAATAATTATACCAAATGCACATTTAAGATTTCTTCTTTCTTGTGCTAGCGTGTACTCCGATAGCCATTATCGCATAAGATGGCTAAACAGCATAATGTTTTATATTCATTACCCGGTCGTTCGTTACTCGAAGTTCGAAGTGAGCTATAATTATAATTATTTGAGCTTTGTACTTTGAATTATGTGTACAATAGATATGATTTTGATAGTTTTTGTATTTCGTAGTATTGCGACTTTGATGATCAGATGCTAAGTGCAAAATGTAAATACATACAATTTCCTACATAATTAATTCCTTAATTTTATTAATAGCGTTGCTGAAAACTGAAAACTTTTAGAAAATAAATGATCATTGCCTACAACTGTGTGTATAAATTTATTCCCTTTTAATAATTCGTTTCTTCTTCTCCTGAAATAAAATTGTATATTACTTCGTTTTTTATTAAGTAGAGTCTACTTACTGAAAAACCAAGTAACATATAGTTACAGTGTATGGAAAAATACTGAAAATTTCGAATTTGAAGCGCTATAAACAACATATTAAACAATTAAAGATACGCAGTTGTACCATGTAGAAATATTGAATGAACTTATAATAATATTTTTCCCATTTTAATTCTAGTATCTCCGTTTAAAACTGTCTGTTACGGCAAACTCGGCTGTTTCTATAATGGACCACCATTTTACAATCCGGTACTTCGACCAATCAGTTTATCTCCTTTTCCACCGGAGTTGTATCTTACAACGTTCTCATTCTACAGTAGGCGAAACAGGCAAGAACCTTATATATTCACACCTTTCAGTTTAGAAGCAGTTCTGAGTTCATCTTTCAATGTCAGTTCTTGGACAAGGATCATTATTCCTGGTTTTTTGGATGGAGAGTTAGCGACCACTTTTTTGCAAGTAAGTAATCAATACTTTATTTAAAACTTTTTCCCGTGGGCTATAGGGGCCAATGTTTTATGTATTAAGGTAATTTATGCAGCTGTTTTTACAGGAAGGAGCCGAAAAACAAATCAACAGGCTCCTACACTTCCTACTCCATATTTAAGAGTAAATCTCCACAATTTACTGAAGTTTCTTGAAACACATTTAAAATAGTAAACGTGCGGGAAGTACACTGCGGAAAAAAAACAGGGCCGATTGACGAAATTGATGCGTTTTTTATGTTCTGAAATCGCGACTTAGGATATTTATTAGATTTACATATTTCATTGTTATAATATAAGGATTTTGACACAAAATCGCACTTTTTCTGAAAAGACGCCAGTTTTTTTCCATATTTGGATTCTACTACTCGAATTATGCCAAACTGCCAAGTTTCGTAAAAATCGCACGAGTAGTTAAAAAAAAATGAGCTTTAGAAGTTTTAGCTCCTCAATGTTAATTGAATTTGATATATATTTATTAATATCTCTTTTTTTTATTAAACTTACTTAATTCCTTCTTCCAGAGTTCGAAATTTAGGTTCATTCCAAATATAATTCGCCCATTTTTAATGATTTATTTTTAAAATTTGTATTTTAAAGTATTTTTTATAAATTTTTCGAAAACCTTTTTAACATCATCTTGAAGTAGATGTATTTCCAAGCATACCTGCAAAAAGTTACAGTTTTTTTATTCAAGCCTTTCTATAATATACGTGAATTTACATTTTGGCGCGTTTTGAAATTTGGCATACAGTGGATGATCGCTTAACGAACAATTCGGACTGCGAACAAATCGGACAGTGAACACTTTCAGGAAAGATTTTTGTGTTCGGACAACGAACACATATTCGGATAACGAACTAAAACGAATTCTAACGAACACCTCTCGGCTCTCGGAGCATGGTTGACAAACCCAACGAACCAAAAATCGTTTTTCATCTCTCTTGAATTATGTTGCTCGCCTACTAAACTTCAAAGTTCTATATAGGAAATAAAATTTTTTCCATTAGACTATTTATTTATTTACATCTTCACAAGTAAAACTAGGTAAAAAATTTTTTTACATACATTTATGAAGCGAATGTGTAATAAGATAATCATAAATGTTATTCTTAAAAGAATGTTTAACAGATATTACGTAGGGGGTCAGTTACAAAATTTATAATGCCATGATGTAACATGGATGTTTTTCAAGTTGTTTTAGAAGAATTCTATTTTGCAACGAACATTAATCACCAAGGAAAAGCGACTTTAGAGTTGCTATTTTCTAAACATGCCTCAAAAGTGATTAATTGCACTAGTATTAGAATGGATAAAAGTTAACGAATCATAGTAGCATGAAAATGCGAATTTAGCGCCAGGATAAAAAAACTTGCAGGCGGATCGCGTTGCAAACCACCAGGCAGATTTCAAATGTACCCGCACGCGAAGACATAGCTTACTGATAAGGATAATTGTTTTATGATTCTTAATTTAGTTCATAAAATGACGTCACACTTTGATACGAGATCTTTTATTGATTTGCTGGCAGTAATTACTTTTAATTTTAAGATTTTAGCCGTTGATGTTTTCTTCTTTCTGCTTGTTGATGTTCAGTTATTTTAATACATATATGATGGTTAATTCTTTTGTACCCTTAGCATTCTCCGCTCTTGTGTAAGAATTTAATTATTGATTCACAAGGCCTTAATTTTAGAGGTAAATTCTTAGTTTCTACCATGCTTTATAATTTACGATGTTCTCATAATTTTAACGTATAATTTCTCATAATTTTCTATTCATAATAACACATTTATTTTCTGTAATTTGAATTGTGTTACTAGCTTTTTTTTTTTTTTTTTTTTTTTTTTTCATTTTACACAGAATTTGTGTCATCCTTTTTAACCAACATAGTCTGGACTGAACTTATTTTTTATATTTTCACACCATATACATAACTTCTTTTTACCAAAAGGAGATATTTTACCAAAATCTAAGTTATATTTTCGAATATTTCAACTTCATCAACATTCATCCCAAATACAATAATTCTTCGTAAAGTACCTATATAATAAGGAGTAACCCCTTTTCAATGCAAAATTACACACAATTACATTTTATGCAAAATAATTTAAATTATGCAAAATTACATTTTTACGCTTTTTCGAGGACTGTAATTTAATAAACGAGGCTTAAATGTATAAGGTATTTTCTCCCTTATTTCCGCATGCCTACGTGGTGTAACTGGAAGCACGCTCGACACGTATTCGGGAGGTCAAGGGTTCGAGTCCCGGCGAGGGCACAATGCACATTTTTCACGTCTCCTGCTTCAAAAAATCTTTATGACTTTACAAATGTTAATTCAGAAGTCAAACAACAAAAATCAGCGTTATACCTACAAAATTTTCACAGGACTAGTTTCGATGGTTTTACCGAACCATCATCTTCAGCTGCAAAACCGCAAATGAACAAGATAGGAAATAATGATTAGATAAGATAAGAAAGCCTGGACAAGAATAAGCAAGTGGCGCCATCTGTTGGCGAAACCAGAACTAAAACATAATTTCTCTAAAGCCGAAGGCAAATTTGGGATTGGAATTAGGATCGTTTAACTAGAACAGAAAGATTTTTATGAATGTGAAATGCCTCTAGAAAATCGAGTTCTCCAATGGAAGATGCTTTTTGAATAATTTTGGCAGCAGAAAAAATTGAAAGTGGCATTTCACATTCATAAAAATCTTTCTGTTCTAGTTAACGATCCTAATTCCAATCCAAATTTGCCTTCGGCTTTTAAGAATTATGTTTTAGTTCTGGTTTCGCCAACAGATGGCGCCACTTGCTTATTCTTGTCCAGGCTTTCTTATCTTATCTAATCATTATTTCCTATCTTGTTCATTTGCGGTTTTGCAGCTGAAGATGATGATTCGGTAAAACCATCGAAACTAGTCCTGTGAAAATTTTGTAGGTATAACGCTGATTTTTGTTGTTTGACTTCTGAATTAGTATTTATTCGGCTTATTATTGTGTCTTAATTTACAAATGTTATCTTTCCGAAGATGAAAACTCTAACAACAACGATCTAATTCGTTCAAATTTTCGTATTTCATGCTGTCTTAGTACAGAATACCCATTTTAGGCGTATTTTCCTAACACAACAGTAAGAGTTAAATAGGAAATAAACATATTGCAATGTAGAATATTTACTGTTTTACCCAAATGAGGATAGAACCTTCATCGAATTTAAGTTATTTATCCAATTCCCAACAGGTTTGGAAAATGAAAAGCACTTATATTTACCTAAAAATGAGCCTTAACATATTCTTTTCTGCTTCTTTACTGTGAGTGGAAAACCTGAAGGTGGCTTTGTGTAGGCTTCTCAGTACACACGCACAAAGGAGTCATTTAATATTTTGTAATATTTGAAGTGCATTTTATCAACACTTTGGATACATTTAATGCTGATTCAACTAACTTCCAAGTAGTATTTATATATATTTAGCCCATATATGCTATGTCTATTAGAAAAGTTCCAAACATTATTGGGGAAAAATGCAAGAACATATTCAGTACCTACACAATCTCTCAGAAAATCCCATTCGTTGAAAATAGTAAAACTCTGCACAGTTTTTAATGAAATTGATGCATTATTATAAAACCTGAATAAGATACTATTTTCTATAAACTGAAGGAGATAAAAGAGAGTATACTTATGGTAACTTATCAACTTTTAGGAAAAAAAAAATAAGGTAACCAACCAATGCTTTTAGAAATGCTGCGGTTTTTTTTTTTTTTTTTTTTTTTAATCTACCCTTCTATACTAAAGAGAAAATTCAATGAAATCCTCATTTTTCCTATGAAGACACACATATCTCTCCTAAATCAGAACGAAAATCTCTTTCTCCCATCTAAAATCGGAATATTTCATTCTTCCTTAGTGCGACGATCACGTAGTGCTAATAGACGTCGGTAGCTTCAGGTATAGTAACTGCTGGCTTTTTTCGCCATATGTTAGCACCAATGTTAAGTAGAGTAGCGCACGAATTTTGCCGTGACCTTCGGGATTGGCCGTTGTTTTGCATGGCCTTAAAAATGATAATGACCTTGGGATTCGATATCACTTCTAGCTCCTGCTAGACGGGCCTTTTCTGAGAAACGAGATTATGGTAACACTGGTTTAAACGGGAGGATTCCTAGAAAAAAGAGCTCCGCTGGAAGCACAGTCCCGCTTAGCTAAGGAAACGATGTAGCGGCTACCCGGGATTTACCGAAAATGTCTCGGCTAAAGCTGTGTCCCGGGTAGAGTCAACTAATCAGACGAAAGTTCTGCTTCTGAAGGATCATGTGATCCCAATCTGAGCGATAATCGATTACTGTTTGGCGTTCAAGTCTTTGTAGTAAGTGAAAATGGTAACTTAACTACGTGGGTTTCCTGGAAATGTGTGGGTTCTGAGAATTGTCCCTTTCGACGTCCAGTCCCACGTAGCCGAAACATGTGATTAGAGCTTTACATGCGAGTTGTGGCACAAAGAAGCTCTAATGCGCTATATTTAAGAATTCGGACTTTAAAATTTGCGAGCGTTGAGTGGCTCTCAAGATCGCTACAGTAGATTTAGTTATACTTTCAACGGAAAAGAAAATATTTTTTTACATAAAAAATAAGGTATGACCTATTAAACAGCCTTGAAAAAATCACGGTCAAGTACATATTTATGACTCAATAGCTCAGTTTCACACCAGACTCTGACATTTTTTCAATGATACATGCATCGATTATCATCCTCGAGTTTAAATTTTCAGGTCTGTAACAGATATTTCAGTGGCTTTCACGTTATAGACAGAAGATTTAATTCACATTATAACTTCAGACACTACTTGCAATGCGAAAAACACTCCAGATGTTTACGTAAAATCATATTATTCCACATATTTTTCAAGATTTTAGGCCAATTTCAATTACGCGAATCATGAACTCTCAAATAGAATATATTTTTGACAGAACCTGCTTTAACATGTCATTCTTTTACTTCTAAATAATTTAAATGATTTCACATTACTTTAATCAATGAGAAAAACATTTGAAGTTTTTCTAAAATTTAAAACATTTATACAATTTATGGGATAAGAACTACTGAAGGAACTTTTACTGTCAACTGTATGGTGATCAAGACTTTTTCTAACCACAGATGCAATCTTGTACTCCTTCCCACAATACAATTTGTAGGCTTGGGATAATTAGTTCAGGCAATCGAGATTAATTACAAAAACAATAACTCCAAATTCAAAGGGAATTCAACACTTCTTCCCCATGCCAAATATTATTGGCAGAAGAGCTATAGCTAAATCTGCTCCGATAGTGGTAGGTCGAACACTGACAGTTCAATTGAACATAGTGGTGCTCAGCCACTTTTCCCTATACCCTATTCGCAGTATGCATTTTAAATATTACGTTCATCAGGATAATACCTTAGCACACATGTTTCCGTTGCGACATATTCTTCAGATGAAACATGCATGACGAGCTGAAACACTGTACGAAATTGTACTACTGAAACTCATTGGACTGCGTACCACAGATCCTTTTATAACTGTTTTTGTTGCTGTTCTTTTTCAATTACGTGTATCGTTAATTTTGATCATCAAGTCATTAAAACTTAATTTGATCGTTTATTCTTTTGCATTTATATCATTGGCCATAAGTTCATTTATGATTATATAAATTTTATTAAATAATGCGAAAGAGAAAGCATTCCTTTTGGTTTCTCTGCCTTTACATGATTCCTGTATTTAGCCTTTCAGCCAATTTCAATTTCATACCAACCAATATTCGCCCTTTTGTTACAGTTTAAGTACGCGGTTCTCCTTCATAACAGTTCCCTGTTATAGTACCAGCAAGTTTATGGAGATAGTCTGTTGTTTGGTCATGAAATGTGATCATGAAACTTATCATGGTGAAACATTTCGTAGATGACGACCCATTAAAGCGCCTGATTCTTTTGAAAATGAAGTTAAGCATTGGCATAGAACATCAGTTCTCTAAGGCATCCACTTCTGCGGAAGGCCAAAATCAACAGCCCATCAGCGGTCAAGCGGTAAAGCAGCTGAACACTAGTAGTTCTGTCCGTGGTTCGAATTACAGAGAACGGGCTGGCTGCATGGGCGTTTCCTTGAATTTCCCCATATGTAAAGTGTGTACAGATCAGTTTTCCATAGAACGTCCTCCACGAAGGCATCCTTTTTCTTAGGCAGAAGATTAACCCTTGTGAGCTTTGCCGTGATTAAATTAACCAAACCAAACCGTAAGAATATCAAAACACTTTGAAACTAGTCCTGTAAATTTATGAGATACATTATCCTGATTCTTATTGCTTTAATATCTTTAATAAGTCGAGATGATCCCAAATGTGCTCTGTTAATAAAATAAAATAATAAATAAATAATATAGTTATATCATTTTCTTTTTGAAATGATAAAAAGCTTTGGTTTTGGGACAAAATTGTACTTGCCACTGTAGTTAATTTCTGTGACACTAGATGGCAGTACCTGCAAACTCATTTCTTGGGCTTGCATTTGATAGCTTTTTATTCGCAAAACAAACATTTTTTACGCATGCAAATAACTGAATTTTTTTTTTAAACGGATAAGAGGATTAAGGCATTTCTTTTGTTCCCTCTATATGTGCTATAATTATGATTAATTTGTAATCATTGGATAAAACTTTCAGATTATTCCATAAGAAGATGACTACAGCTACTGATATCTGTTTGTTTCCAGACGTTTTTAGCAGCCAAGTGGAAAAGAAATACACCAATCAAAAATTAAAAGTTAGGGAAAAAAAAAAAAAAAAAAAAAAAAAAAACATACTTTTGGCATAAGTTCTGAATAAAACTCTATCACTTTTGAAGAATGATTTTTTTATTTATTATTAATTTCGGAGAAATAATTTTTTATTCTTTCCCTTGAGAGTTCGCTGCCTGCTTTTTGTTGATTTATATCTTTTTCGATCCATCCTCGCCAACATTTTTCGCGGATTAACTATTATGTATTTTTAAAAAATGTTATTCAGTTGCTTTTTTATTATATAAAGCCCAGATTCCCACAAATTAACTGCGCTGTAGAAGTGTAAGATCTGTGCGGAATGTATAAAAATATTTCGTGACCAAATACATCTTGAACTACTGGTGGTAACTCTACGATTCTAAACTAAAAAAATGAATCGAACAAGATAAGTTCGCGAACTGAAAATTTCGGTGTTATGAGAAATTTATAAAAAATACAAAATTAGAGTTTTTGTGGGTCTAATATATGTGAAAAACCATTCAAAGATCAAATGCTTTTTAAAGCGTTGTGAACGACATATATGGAAAAATCAAATTAATATAACTATAGCATGATCCTATACAAACTGCGATATAAAGATATCACAACACCGAAACTATCTTCTGAAAATTTATTTATTTGATTCATTTCATAAGTGCAAACATTTGAATCCGTGTTTATTGTCTGCAAGCCTTCGAATGGTATCTGCGCAAAATAGAGCTGTTTTTATAGAGGTCTTTCAATCGCACTGACGTTTCCAAAAGGGTGTGATGTGGTGTATTTAATTATGGCAAAGCACACTAGGGCTATCTGCCTAAGAGGGAGGGATGCCTTTCGTGGAGGACTTTCTAAGGGAAACTGGCTCGTATACACGTTACACATGGGGAAAACCACGAAAACACCCATGCAGCCAGCCCGTTCGCGGGATTCGAACCTCGGACCGAACTACCAGTGTTCAGCGACTTTACCGCTCGGCCGCTGGTGGTCCTTCGTTTCCAAAAGGGAAAATTATGAAAACTCACGCAACTAGCCTGTTCTCTGAAAATCGAATCTAAGCCAAACTACCAGTTTTCAGCGATCTTATTCTTTAGACATTTGTAGCCCGTAAATATATAATCAGCTGTTGAAGATATATTTAACGACGCAAATGTTTCAGAACACCTTGTAGCTGTACAATTATGAATTAAGTGTGTCTTAGTTTTAACGTTAGGAATTCAATTTTAAATAGCTATAAATCAATATTTTTTGTCAAGATTTTGATTGCTTATTTAAAAAATTGCATTTTTTTCTTAGGAAATTAAAGACGTTTATCTTGCCTCGATGGATGACAATATCATAACAGTGAATTACGCTCAGTATCCTTCATATAGTGTAGCAATAGCAAATGCCCGTGGATTAGGCGCACAGATTGCTTTGCTGATACAATTTATACAAGTAAGTGTAATCTATATATGAATTAATATTGCCTAAACAGATAAAATTTCTAAACCAGCATAAAGTTATGACATGCCAGAAAATATGGATTTTCGAAACATCAAAAAACATAATTAAAAGAAAAATGCAATAATTTTAATAATTTTAATTGGGCAAATAAGAAAACGGTATCATGTTTTACATCTGTAAAAGTAAGAGTCCAGCTGTGTAATATGAACTTAAAGTCTAGACTCGCAGATGAGGTCATCGTTTCATTTGAAAGTGTAAGACAAAGTCCTTAAATAGACCTTTTTATTTAAGCTTGAAGTTAAGAAAAGGCAGAACTTTTGCGTCCAATCCAAAATTTCACCATTTGCGGATATTAAAAAAAAAGTTTAATTTACAATTTGAAAAGGGATCGCAGCAGGAGACTACACAAATTTGTCTTAAATAAGCTAGCTCAGATTTTAAGGGCGCGCTTTAACTTCGGCTAGCAAACAGCTAATACAGGAATATTAACAGGTAGAACTAGGTCATAGAATGTAAAGTTGCGAGCACTGCTAAAGCTCTAAATCTGAAAAATTCAAAATCCTCTCCTTAAACAAATGTAAATCATTTACATCCTGATGAGGGGCTAAGGAAGAAAGAAGTTATAACACATATCTAAATCATAAAAAAATGACTTGATTAACATAAAAAGTTTCACTCACGGGTTTTCAATTACATAGCATCATACACTATAACGGCTTTGTTTTTAGATTAAGAAAAGAATCGCTGCGTCTAAAGAGTTCTAGTACAAAAACGTTTCTGTGACTGTGAGAAATCTTGATAAGGAGTATTAAAAGATGTAGTCTTCCTGTTCACAAAAATTTTCTTTTTTTTTTTTTTTTTTTTTTTGCGTGTAACTAAAAATTTTCAAACTCATCTAACTAAGATTCGAATCTTCTAACAGAATGAATAATATTGATAATAATTACGAATTTCGAAAAAAGTAATAATAAATGAAAGCTTCTAAAATGACTCCACAGTAAATCGAAGAAGAAATGATATGTATTTCTAGACATATGCTAGTACTGCGCATCTTTTTTTTTGAAGGACGAGGAAAAGCATGTGCACTATTTCATCAGGAGACACTGAATAAGTACTGTCGAACATTATCAATTATTTTTAAGACATAAAGAATAAGTCAAGGTATTTTACGAAGGATCTCTGCAAAAACGTACGTAGTTTTTTGTGCTCATCATGCGGACATATGGCCACTCATCCTTCGCTATTAAAGGTTAGCTTTTGAGAAGAAAACCGTATTCAGAAAACTGAGATAAGTAGCTAAGAAAATATTATCAGCGGAACACTTGCATGATTACTTTCTGAGTTTTTATTTTTGTTACGAAGAAATAGAGGTTGTCCATGCATATATAATTGTTATTGAATACAGATGAATTATAATATAGTAATATTAAAATGTTTTAATCTCCTAAACGTTTTTGGTAGAAAACATACGGATATCCAGCAGAAAAGTTTCACCTGGTTGGGCACAGCTTAGGAGCTCAAATATGCGCTTATGCTGGAGAAAGAATACATAACCTTGGGCGGATCACAGGTAAATATTTCCATTTCCTGTTTATTACATGTGCATCCACAATTTTACCGAAGTATCCTTTAGTGAGATTGTGGATTCGGATGTAGACTGAGATTTCAAATATTCAAGAAATATCACAGGGAAAAAAAATAACTGATTCCTCCCACGCACACATACACATGGAAAAAAAATCTTTGAAGTATAAAATTTACTTTGAGATCACAGCAACATTCTAGTTGTAACAAGAGTGTGATACAAATTGCATGCGAGGAAAACTGGTGTTATTACATATTTCAAATAGCCGCCCAGGAGGGAAAGTGGTTAGTGACTTTGATTGCCATACCAAAGGGCCTGGATTCGAACCCAGGAGAAGGCATGGATGTACTTTGTCCGTCCTTTCATAGGAGGCAACGAGGCCCCATAATGCCTCCATAATAAAGTGACCACCACTTCCGGCCTTAGTAGTGGCCAACGTCTATAGACGCCTTGAGCCCGCCATTGGAAAAAAAAAATATTTCAAATATATGTAATAAAAATCTTTTGAAAAAGATACCCTAATGCGCTTAAGAAGTATGAAACCTTCATTTATTTTAATCCTTTTCAGTTTAATTTCTTTCAAGTTTCGTTGTCTCGACCTTTCCAACCAGTTTCGTGATGGTAGAAATAACGTAGGTAATTTTGGGTATTTTGCTTGTATAACAAATATAAATATGACAATTTTGTTATATATAATAACAAATATAATTCATTTAACTTTGAAATATATCAATGAAAATAATTTAATAAACTATTTATTTTTTAATTTAAATTAAATTTAACTAATTATTAAGTGGATAATTTATTTAAATTTTGTTAATATAAAACAAGTACAATTTTAATTATATGTTATATATAATAACAAATACAAGATAATATAAACAAAGCAATTTCGTTTAGTAAATCTTTTATCTCATCTTCGTATCAGACGTGTGTTTTTTCCCCAAAACTAACAACTTTCCACAAAAAGAGAGAGGACAGGGAGCAAAGATACTACTTCAATAAATAAAATGTATTCTTTGGCTGTACGCTGTTCTTCGCTTATTTTAATTTTGTGAATCTAATTGACGAATTAAGGAAAGATCTGGAATCTATATTTCGAATGTATCTATTCCTAGTGGTTAGCGAAGCAGATACTCGATTCGGATTGAATAATGGATTGCTTAATTAAAACAATGTACTTGAGGGCTATGTGTAAGGAAAGAATCTTCCGTGGAGGACCTTCTAAAGAAAACTTGCTGGTATTAATAAAATCAAGAGTTTACCTTATACGTACATGCAGTCAGGTCATTTACGCGCAAGGATAGAATCTTTGATGAATTATTATAATTTCTTTAGCCATTTTAGAATAAATCAGAAGTACGGTTGGATTGTAATCATGAGAAACATTTTTTATATTCGAATCTATGTGGAGTATTGAAATTATAACGTATCGTTAATAAACAAATACACCTCTTAAGTTTTAACTTTTACCCGGCATTAATAAACATTCGTTTCTTCAGTTACAATTATCCTTGCAATATGCCAAAGAGTGTTCATATGGGATATCATTTTCAGTAGCGTATTAACTTATTAACTTAAAAATAACGTATCAAGTTATTTAAAAATAACTTACGTATGAACTTTAAAAATAACTTCGTTTTGAATGCTACTTAATTTTAATGTCATTCTTATAAAATGAACCTTATGTGTTTTCCTTTTTTTCCTTTTTTAAAAATAAAAAGCAATATTCGCTTATGACATCACACCAGTGAGAATTTCAACATACAGAGGATTTATTATTTTACTGAAGAATTTAATATAAGATAACGAATCACCCTACAATACAGTACTTATTATAATACTTAAATGACATGTATGAAGTAACTAAATCAAAATTGGCTTTGTTTAGAACGGTATTTAACATTACAGCTAATTTTGTGATAAAATTTTATACTGTTTATGATATATCTCCGAAACTCGAGTTCATTTGTAATTGGTGTAGCACTGTGATATGGTTGTTTTAGTGGGCAAGAGAATAGATAGTTCTCTGTTCTCTGGTGCGCTTCTTCCGCTACAAACACAATTGTAAGAAGAGATACTATTTTCGTTGTAGTAATAGGTAGGCAAGTGCAGATTAGCCATGTGCAGATATGAATTAATTGAAACTGGAGTTATCCAGGTACCTTTTCTCATTTATTACGAAGATAAGATCCCGCGTTATCTTCCCTTGGGACACAAAGTTCCATTCGTTCTGCCAAATTTGATTTATTTTCTTATGGGTTTCTTTTTTACTTACATATTTAATTTTACCATTTCAAGTTCATATTTTCTGAATCGGAAAGTAGTTACATCTTTGACAAAAACGTTTTGCTTCTGTTATTCATCTTCGTTTCTGACATTCCCTGCATATGCTCTCAGTCAGCAAAGAGAAATTTTAATTTATCTATTTTCTTGGATGAGATGAAAGATTTCTTGACTCTGGGAAAAGGGTGTTTGAAGTTCGTTATTGCATGTATCGAAGAGAGAGAATCTCACCGAATTGTGAACTGAGTCCATTTGTTATTAATTGCAATTTCTATTGCCGTTTTAATAGCTAAACGTTTCTTGCTATTAAATTAATTTTTTTTTGTTATAAAAAATTCAATAGCTAAAACTGTATTTTGTGAGCACGTTTTCGTTTTATAGCACTTTATAAACTGGAACTAATAAACAAACCTAAGAAGAAATGAAAATTTTTTTCATAGATCATAGATCAGCAGCGGCAGTCAGCTCTTGGGGCAAGGGAGATTTTAAACAGTGATTCAAATTGTATCGTAATTAATAATTTATTTCGTTAATAGTTAACTCTCACAGTGTGGTAAGAGTATTGATTGTTACGAGAATATCATGCTTTTATAATTATAGTTCTTAGTTTTCTCTTCAACTATAGTATAATCGGAAGTCCTGATACTATAGATAGTATCAGTATATATAGTGCGATTTGCATTGAAATCGGTCAATCAAAAGTCAAAATATATAATTTTCATGCTTGAGAGTATCATCCGAAGCTGGTTAGATACTGCAATTATGTCGGTTAGCTAATCTCTTTTCAGAAAGAAGTATTTGGGTTCGAACGGAAGTTTGCCCCCAAGTCTTTGCAATACATTTATGAATTTATAGAACATAGGCACCTGTTGTTCACATTTGTTCATAATACATGTAGCACTGACACACTGCTAAGTTTAAAGATAGATATATTTTCTACGTTATTTTTTATATTTTACATTGTGTTAAAAGATAAATATCTATATACGTACTGTAAGAAGATATGAGAATTACTGTGTGCACTTCATAATTCTAATTTTCTGAAAATTCAAAGTGCCTCAAACTTTTATGTACGTTAAATTAGCGATTTTCATGAAGTGCCTATTACATCTAGTATCTCTAAATCACTTTATCTATCTATGCTTCTATATATCAAAATATCGATTTGTTTAGCTTTGTCAATTATTTCAAGTTTCAAGCTTTAACAATTATTTTATTATTCAAACTTAATTTAAACCTCTCTTCTCTTTGGATCACATCAAAACATTCGCTCACACAAGAATACTATGCAAATGAAAGTACTCGTAAGATAGTTTCAAGACTTAGCGAAGGATAAGTGCAACTCGTGCTTTGTTGATCAAAGAACCGCCTTATCTTTCATGAATGCTAGTATTGATCCATTTAAAAAAATGTTTGCTAGAAAGCCGCAATAAAACCATTGCCGCTCGAGGTTCGCGAATGCCCCATTTTATAGTGATTATCCAAGTATAAAACCAGGTGAATTGTTCTAGCGGATCTGATTTTGATAGCAATTTTATAGTGATATTTTGAAGGTTGGTAGCCTAATTTTTACTAGCTATTATTAATAAATAATCTACTGTTTAGTTCTGCAAATTCGTACTTTCAGAAAACTTAAAATCCTCTGACTGGCACAGGGTTTCGCTACGAAATCCCAAATTTCCCAAAACTGACAAAAAGGTAATTTCTTGATTCTTATGCTAAAATGCCCCTGGTACTTTACATCTGGATTTATGTACTAAAACTGTATAGCCTTAATTTCTTTGACATAATTAAAGATTCATGTATATATATACATATTAAATACGTTAAAAATACTATAGACCGTGTACATACGACATTGCCGGTCAGGTGGTCTTAAATAAAGTTTGTCGAATTTCAATCTGTGCTTGTGTACCTTAAATGAAATCTGGTAACTTCCCGACATTTAAAAATTAACTCTTATTGAATTACCAGCAAATGAACATATCTTTTGAGAATATTTAAAGCATAATTTTATGATCTGATCTGTATATCTAGATGCATGTATGTATGAGTTTTCCATATAATTAAAATATTTAACATTCTGCTAATAAAGAGAGAAAAATGTGTAATTTCTCAATATTTTCTTGCTTTAAAGACTTTATGTGCTTTTATTAGATCTATATTGTAACATAAAGAAGCTATGTATGTATAATTTGCGGTAGATCGGAAGATGATATTTTTGATATTTTTAATACAATTTTCGTTACATTATTCTTTATTTTTCAAGGGCTTGATCCTGGTGGTCCAGGTTATGAAAATCGGCCGGATGTTGTTATCCTTGATGCTTCCGATGCTCTGTTTGTTGATGTGATACATACAAATCCTGGAAGAATAATTATCGATGGTATATTTATCATTTGCCTGTATTAAATGTATATTATATATATATATAATGTGTATACGAATTAATGTAGAAATATGTATTAATTAGAAAATTAATTTGCACTCATAACAATCGAGACGATTGTCAAGTCAGAATGATGGAATGTAATCAGCCGATAGATGGCATTGTAGAAAGCCGCAGATAGAGGGCTCACGACTGTAATCCAGAATCGGGGAGTCTACAGAATGTGAGCGATGAGACCTTCATTCCTGAACTATATGTAAATATGTATACATTTAGCGTAGTAATAAAAGAATTTATAAAAACATTAGAGTCATCCTACAGTTAACACATAACCATCCGGACAGTGTTCTAACATCTGGGTATGGTATATAGAAAGTTTTCTTATTATGAATTATTAGTTTATTAGTATGCAGCTTTAGCATTACTAAATTCATAGGCATTTTAATTTACTTTTAATGACTTTTACTTAGAATTTATGTATGTAAAATCACTTATATATATAAGTATATATATTATATATATAGGTGATGAGATATATTTTATATATATATAGGTGAAGATATCTTTCTATATGAGATGCTTTATATATATTAGCTTAGTGTTTATATATATATGTAAACTCGGCATCTAGGGGATTTCTAGGCTAACGATGCACATCTAGGTGACTAAATTGTTTTATTTAGCTATTGGTGGAGTTACATTAGTGGCTATTTACAAATGAAAAAAGAGTGATGATTAAGAAGTTACATCTTCGTTGCCTAATCATTACTTCGAAGCGCGCATACTTTTCTTATTTTCCATCAATCTCCTTTAGACCGTGCGTCGTGTTGAATTGTCGCACTCCTGATACTTACATTCGGACGTCCTAATGCGACAGGCCCTCCTATCAATGTCGGCGTTACATAAATATCTGAAATGAGTATAAAAAAAAAGGAAAAAAATTCTTCGTTTGGATGTATCATCTTGGAACGTCCTGAGGAAAAAAAAAAAAAGTCATTTCTTTGAGTGTCAATGGATCCTCTGGGAACGCCTTGAGGTAAAAAAAATAATTATTTCTGCAGAACGTCTTAAATGCTCAAGAGTCTTTAGGAGCGTATCTGGAACATGTTGGAGAGGGCAAAAAATGAATATCTTAATAAATCTTGTATATATAATAATTCTATGTGGGGAGGGAACTTTTCAACTAATTAAACCAAAAAAAAAAAAAAAAAAAAAAAAAGGTAGTAAATACTAAATATAATGTCCAGTTGTATGCTATATCAATTCTAAATTAAGAGTTCATTGTTGGGAAGGCCATGGTTTCATCAGGTCAGGAGCTGTGGAAGTTTTATTAGGGCCTTCATGTATTCCAACTTTCTCTACCTCATAACGGTCATTTCGATTAACAGCTGTGACTTCGTAGGGTCTAAACAATCGGGGACGGAGTTTAATTCAGGTTCCAGATTGAGTGCTACTTGATCACCAACTTTGTATAAGGTTGTTTGTTTACGGCGCTTGTTATATTGACATCTATTTTCTTCTTGAATTTTGAGAATATTGGATATTCAATCAGGATATTCAGTGATTAAGATGATAATAACCTTATTTTTAAACATGTGGGCATATATTGTCATACTTTAAAAGCAAGTGACCTTTTCTTTCATTTTTTGGGGGGAGGGTTAATCTAAGTTATTGAAATTAGATTACGCATTCCATTACTTGAAAAATTGTTTCGCATATTTAAAAACTCCTCAAACGCTGATGCGTTAACTGATTTCCTTAAGAGAGCTGGTAGTTTTGCCTTTTTTACTTCATGGTATAAGTGGAAAGCACGTCTAGTCAGTAATCGGAAGATCAGGAGCACGAGTCTTTTGCTCTTACAGGCTATTTTTCATGTCTTCCACAGAGGTTGTACGCACAGTTTTTAGACAACTTTCATTGTGGTCACCGAAATGCTTTACCTAACATTTTATGCTATAAATGTTCTATTTTATAACTCTTATGCTTCACTATCTTTACATCGTAATTTTCAAAGCAATAAAGCCTTTTGTAGTATCGGAAGAGGTATTTTATTCCATTGATCTCGAATAGCTTTTCAAAGTCTAAAAACACTAAACAAAGTTTCCACTTTTAAAATTAAAGTCTAGAAACAAAGTTTCCACTTTTTAAAAGCCCCAAAACACAAAAATACATCGGTCATGAAACTTAGTAGCGATATAAGTGAAGAGATCCTTGATATCTGCTTCTTGCTCTATTTTTTCCAAGAAATTAACAGTAGATTTCCATGTGTCGCTGCTCGATTTGTCTTGATGCAGTTTTACTGATTGATCACACTGTGTGTACAGAGAAGATATTTCATATTTTGAAATTGGATGTAAAATTGTTTTTGTTAATATGTGGAGTACATTTTAACATTTTTCTCCACTCTCTTTATTTTTAATTTGCCGTTATATGTAAAACCAGCAACAATCATAAATCCCTTAGGAAAACTTTCTTTAGGTTCCTTGAATATATATATATATATGTAAAATGTATCCTTGAATATAATGTTCCTTGAATATATATATATATATATATATATATGTTCCTTGAATATATATATATATATGTTTTAAAATTATTTTCTTCCCTTTGATAATAATAAGTGGACCTCTTTTTTTTGTTATTCCAGTCATTTAAGTCCACAGAAGATCCATTTATTGTGACAATATTTTCCCATTTTTGTCCGCATAAATGTTTCTCATAAAGAATTCTGCAGCGCGTTCCTGGTTCGGCGATACGTAGTGGAGAAAGACGATACACATTACGTTTTTTCTCCTTTTTAAGATTCAGATCGGTATTAATAACTTTGTTTACAGTTGACACTGGGCATTTTAGTGCTTTTGTAACTATTCTTTGACTTGGCGGATTTCGTTTAACATTAAAAATCTTACTTTTGAAACAATCGAAACATTCCCTTTTTTCCTTTGATACGTATTTGGAACAGTTGTTGCAATTGTAGTTAAATATTGGCGTTTTTTTTTGTTATTGATAACATTACGTACCGTAGCTTTAGCTATTAGAAAAACCATGGCTTTCACAACGTTTTTTTAATAACTAGGTACGAATGATCATCGGAAAGAACACAAACATAGCCTACTATCCACTGCTCCTTTAAAAGCAAAATTTTGCATTAAAACAAAACTGCCAAATAGCAGACTATAATTAAACTTTCAAAAATATAGTTGCAGTTAAAAAATATCCAAATAGAAAATTTTTTTACAACAAAGCAAAATCGTCTGAAAAGTGTGCGAACAGCCTTTGTACTTCAAAATAAAAACCCCAATGGCTTTACATCGTTTTCAATAGTTTTCTCTGTTGCAAAATCATAACAGAGTATACTAAAGATTTTTGCTACCAGTTAATAATGATATGAATACTGCAGCTAGTAATTGACTTCTTTTTCGAATTTTGCAGTTGTAAATATCGGAATGTTTTCATTCGCAAACCCGCTCACATTTTCCAAATGATGTTCGATGTTCGATATTATTTTCCACTTTTTGGGTTTATGGTCAATGAATGGTACTTAGACATGGTACTCAGAATAATTGCTCGGCAAATCAAATATTATAACCTGTCAAAATCGCAATAACAACCTTGTATTTCGCGTACATTTATTAAAATACTCGAACAATACAAGGCGACTCGAGGCTTTGCCGTAATTAAATAACCTAACCTAACCTAACCTAACCTAATATAAGGCGAAATACCAGGTTGTTATTGCGATTTTGATTCTTATATTGGCGTGTTTCTCTTCTATTCTATTATAACCTGTATTTTACTTTTGTCAGTGGATTAAAAAATAGGTGAACAGAAGACAACCATTCATTTAAGTTATTAAAAATTAAATTATTTCAATGGCTTTGAAATTGGTTATAGCGTTAATTAATTTAAAGAGCGATAACACTATTTTGCTATTATTGAACAGGAAACTGGAAATTATGATTCAGTTAATAACTGAGGTTGGTTGGCTACCGAATGAGACCCAACGAACTAGAATGAACGCTTGAAATGATCTTCCTACCCATTATACTTAGTCTGATAAAGTACTTTTACTGAAAAATTACTGTTGGAAATTCCTACAATATTTGTTTTTTCATTATAGGTCTTGGAACTGTTGAAGACGTAGGACATGTAAATTTCTGGCCGGCCGGAGGGAGACCGAAAGGCTGTCCTCTCACACTGCTAAGAGAATTTTTAACTGGTTCTAGAAACTGTGAGTATTTATTTCATTAAGTACTTAATAATGGAAAGCATATCTTGTTAATTAAGGTAAACAGTGTACTTTGTGAAAATGTATTCATTATGTGTAATTATATATTTAGTTCATGCTGCATTAATGTAAACTTGTATCTCTTGCCGTCCGCTTTTCCTCCTCTGTGTTTTAAATTTGTAATTAACACATATTTGCTCAGATATTTGTTTTGTGTAAATTAAAGCCGAATTTTATTTTGTTTATTTCTATTTTTCTTGATTATTGGGAAACATTGTGCAAATTGCGATTTTGTAAATTTTCCTGTGGGACAACATATATTTATTCGTCGAAATTTTCCAGATTTGAGAACATTTCTTTACAGACTGCCAAATTTAAATGGATATTCAACGTAGTAATTTATGGAAAATGTTGAGCCTTAACTCTGCAAACGAATTCGCAGTTTTATTGCATCTTCTGCTGTGTATTCCATATGTAAATGTTTCAGCGCCTCTGGTCCCACTGATAATATGGAAATAAATCTGCAGAAATTATTCCTATTTATTGGTAGATATTTGGCGATATTTTCAATACTATGAGAGCTATATTTTTCTTCTCTTACTTAAAGCAGCGCTAATGATTATAATTTTAATTGGTTAAGCAGCACAAAGTCAGGGAACGGGATACTTTTGAGAAGGATTTCGAAAAATAAGTTGGCTCGCACTTTACAGACGAGAAGGTTACTACTTTGGTAGACAGACGCACGGGTTTTTGGCGATTTTTTCTGCGCCATAGTTGGCGCATTTTTTACAACTGCCTGCATAACATTGACAAACGCCATTAAGCATAGCAAAATATTCTAAACTTTATGCGATATCGTTGAAAATAATGTATCATTTTTTTTCTTGAAAACGTTGTTTTTCCAGATGACAGCGATTGTAAATAAAGACAATTCTTCTTTTAATCTAACAAATCTAGATTTTCAAAATGGAAGAATGGGTAGGACTGACTAAGCGGAAAAGTGATGATTCACAGGTGATGGATGCAGGACAATCTACTAGCACTAAGAATACTGAAAAGAAAAGAAAAAATTGTTTATAGGAAATATAATGAAAGTTATTAACATTTGGGCTTTCTTGAAATGGAGATGAGTAGGAGAGGGATACCTTCATGGAGGAAATTCTAGGGAACACGGGCACGTATGTACGTTACACCTGAAGAAAACCACAAAAACACCCATGCAAATCAGCCGGTTCGCAGAATTCGAACTTCGGACCGAACTACCAGTGTTCAGCGACTTTTATCGCTCGCCCGCTACAGATGTATGAGATTCAGCGTTTTACTGCCATTGTGTTGTGGTTCCATCATTTTGTGAAGGATCCTATTTCTGCGCCATCATTGCCTTGTTCCGCATGAAAGTAACAAAGGACTGAACAGAAAAAAAAAAAAAAAAAAGGTCTGGTCAAAATGAGACCAAATTACCGTCAATGCAAAAAGCACTTCCCCTTGCTGCCTTATATCTGCTTCCTGTGCGAGCGCTGCTTGGTTACGGTTCCATTCCACATTATAATTTAAATGATAAACTGTAGATTTTTCTCCCGAAATTGGCAATATTTCTGAAGAATGATAGTTTGCCTGTCCACTTGATTATGCATCAATAATTTTAAATTATAGTTTGTAGTCTTCTTTTAAAGATAGGAAACTTCTGTCAAAGAAGGTAATTTGCTAATCGGTATGCTTAATATTGTAATCGACAAAGTCGATTTTTGCTATACTCTCCACGCAAAAATGGAAGACTACAGATGTTTCTAAAGCAAACAATTTGATGTACTTTAAGCAAATACTTCTTCTGCTTTAGAAACTCAGATATTAGTTTGAAGCGTAAAAGTGAGGTATTTAAAGAAAACTTTAACCTTTAAACTATTTTACTTTTAATCATTTAATAAAAAATTCATTGTTTAATTTTTTTTCCTTTTCTCATAATACATATATTTTTTTTGCAGTTATTCCAGATATATTGACTTGCCAGCACAGACGGTCTGTGGAATTCATGATATTTTCATTCGGTCAGAATGGATGTTTTTTTGTCGGAGTAGAATGTCTCAGCTATGAATCATTTCAGAAAGGGCAGTGCAATTGCGGAACAAATGGTGAAAGATGTCGCTTCATGGGCCAGTTTAGCAGTCCAGCAACCAATAAATCCAGGTATTATCTCCAAGTTGGGATTGAAAGACCTTATTATTGTTGTAAGTTGGCTTTTTTTTTCTAAAAAATTGTGTATGATTTTATGTGAAAACCTTTTATACCTTTCGGTGACGAATTATGAAATCGCGAAGAACACAAAACTTTATAACCAAATAAATGGCCAGCTGCGGTAAGATAGCTTACTCGCAAAGCGGGCTTATGGTTGCCAGAAACTGTCAAAGAAAGAAGGGTTGCCTGATTTAGCACGAAACCGCCCATTTGGTGACATGTGGCGACAAAATTGGAAATATCCCATAGACAAAGCGAAAACATTCTAGAACAAATTCTTATCGGTTTTCCCGAGAATGTTCTCGAAGGCAGGTCAAAAGCTATATATACCCTGCCTGTACTCGGAGTAGCAGTGAATCGTGAGAGTATCGAGAGTATGTTGAGTTCAAAGATTAGCTTGAGAGCACCGAACCGAGTCATGAATTATATAACTCTTATACCAAACTTCCAAAATTTCTATTTTTCATATTTAAGTTCCATGCATTCATGTAAAGAATTCATTAGATTTTGGGTAAAATTGGACAAATAGAAGTAGTACTTTACTTGAAGCTCATAAAAGTTTTTAATGATAAACTCTATTAAATATAATTCAAAACATTTCAATTTTAGTATTTAAGATTTTTATATCGATGGGAACAACATATTAGATTTTGGCTGAAATTCATAAACCGGAAGCTTGGAAGATATTTCCGTGAAAAAATACATTACAATATAATCCAAAACTTCTGAAATTTAGCATTTAAAACTCGCATCAAATTGAGAACAATATCTTAGATTTTGATTATATATGATAAACCGGAAGTGTTACTTCACTTGAAATTTTTAACGCTTGATATTCGTGGAAAAGTATGGAATCACTACAATTGGAATTTTATCTACAATAATGTAGCAAATATTAAAGTTATTTAACAAATAGCGCTCGTACAAGGCCAACAAACAACTTTTAATTATGTTACTATAAAACTCGTATATATTTTGTACTATAGCGAGTTCCGAAATTCCATCGGGAAACTTAATTAATTGAAAATTAAAGATTAATTTTGAAATTTACATTAATATATTGCTATTATTCTCTATTATGTATTATTCTTTCTTTAGTGTTTCAGTATCAAGTCATCGTATTTTTAAAAGTTGTTCCTGAAAAAGTTACACACGAAACAACAGAAGCAGCTCTAAACTTAATAATTGAAGGAGACAGCAAGATTCAAGCTACTAAAACGTTTAAGTAAGTTGAATCAATAATGTAATAGAATACCAGTTCGTATTCTGAGAATGCACTTTTTTTAGTTATATGTAAATTCTCAGGCTTCAAAATCATTGAATTGAAATCAGTGCTAAATAACTTCATTTTTATTCTGCATAACCCATTTTAAATTAAATTTATTCGTAATTTTATCAAGATAAAAAAGAACAAGTATTAATTTCTCTCAAGAAATTTTCTTTTTTATCTTGATTAATCTTCTTTTTTATCTTGATTAATTTCTCTCAAGAAAGTAGTTCTTTTGCGTGAGAGAATTTTATGCCTGTTCCTAATTTTTCTGAATGCGTTCTTAGAAAAATTTTTGTAAATTGGCGCATAAAACCTACGCATGACATTATTTTCTAGATGAGCAACTGTATATTTTCAGATTACAATGAGGACAAATGAAAGAACTTGAATAAAGTTTATTGTTACAGATCTGCATACAGGTCTACGAGTACCGCCATTCGCACACTGAAATGAACCTAAAACAAAGGTGAAAAAAAAAGAAAATCTAGTAACAAATTTCGTTATTTTGCCTTCTACTTTGCTAATGTTTATTATAAATTTAAGAGCAGTGAAGACAGTTTTTGATCAGTAGACCATTGACTTCCGAAATGTTGAGAGTGAAAGATTTAATGGTGTTGAGAATAAACTAAAACTTTTAAAATAACTTAATTATTACATATATAGCAACGAGCTATTAAATTGCCAAACAACTCGCATCGCTGTAGCCAAGCAGAGAACTAATCAAGGGAAAAACATAGCTATATATAAACTGAATGTGGGTTATAACGCATATTTTCTAAAAGATATTTTGTGGAGGGATTCTCGACCGGATTTGAACTTCAGACCTCCTGATTCCTACCCGCACATGCTTGCAGTTATAATATGAAGTTGTAGGGATTTATATTTAGTATTTTGATTAGACAGTTAAGTTGAAGTTTGTGCTTTCTTTTCTATAAGCCTCCATTTCCCTAATTGTCAATGCCAGAATATTTAAATTTGGTAGCTTGCGGGAAGGAATGCAAATTCTACCATTAGGAGATGTGCAGGCAAGCTTCCAGATTATTCAGCGTCAGGTGCGCTGACTGCGACCGCCGAATGACAAGGCGAAATTGATTGCAACAACCGGTTACTTCTTCTTCTGCTGCCGGGGTCCAAAGGTGTAGGACGGCCTCTTAGGATTTAAACAGTTGTTCAGACTTTTTTGAAATTATCACTTATGGTGGTGGAAAAGTTGTTTAAGCAAGCAGGAATATACTTATGAGAAATCATAACTTAAAGATATAATTAACTTTTTGAAGGTATTTAAACACATTTAAGTTAAGATTCACAGTTTAGAGGGTTTGCTCTGAAGGCACTTATGAAGATGGTTGCGACGTATGCGTGGTGAAGGATATCTCGTTTTAGAAGTTCTGCGTATGTATGTTTCAATCCAGAATGCTTGTGTATCAATAACTGTTTGTGTTGCACCGAATATAATACATTTTTCATTTCTAGATTCTCGGAATATGAACTTCTTATTTTATGTTATTTATTTTTTATTATTTTACCTCTGTTTTATTTTGATGAGAAGTTACAGCATGTTTTTCTGAAATGTAAACAAAAGCTCGCATCTCTTCACAGTTGCATTGTGCTTTATGGATTTTGTAAGGGTTTGATGTTAATTAATCATTATTATGATTTAAACCTTTACTGTAACTTATTCTTTCCGTTGTTCTCACCAGAATGCAAATTAGTTCTCAGAATTTGGCTCAACTAAAATGAAATCGAGGGTTCCGAATGTTTTAGCCTTAGAGGTTTTGGAAGTATCGCTAGAGGTTTATATGCTTCGCTAGCTCTACCAAAGGTTATTCTGGCTTTAGCCATTTTACTAGCCGACGTTAGAACCTACTTTAAATATTTGAGCCAGCTTAAGCAGATCATTTTGTGTAGTCTCCGACTACGTTATTGCAAGCTGAATTTCAATTTATGTTATTTTAAATACTTGGAGTTAGCGGAGTTTTGTTTGTACGCACAAATGGTGCCTTCTGTTTAATTTAAAGATTTAATAAAAATGTTATTTTAATCTTCGCAGGACTTAGTTACCTTAATTTAGACTGAAACGATAACTAGTATGTAAGTAAAACCCTTCAACTTATGGATATGTGTTATGTTTTCTGGTAAGAATACATTCTATATTTACTGTAACAATCAGACAATAATTGAAAGCGTAATAGATAGTGAAGATTCGTGGCTTTTATTTCATAAGCAAATGATGAAGGTGATTTGATAGTTCAGAAAGAATTTCATTAGACATGTTCTTGATGGTGGCTTTTTTTGAAAGATTCCTAATCATCCCTTTCGTGGAAATCAAGGAAGAAATTTTGATGTTATATCACCTGACTTAGATTTTTACATATAGTACACCAAAATCTGTAACATTATTTATTAAATATATTTTATTTCTTCAGATTTTACGCAGTTTGGATAAAAAATATTTATATTTACGTCAATAAAGAAAATGATTATTTAACATTTCAAAAACATGATATTTTATGGTTTCCCCACTCCTTTTTTTCTTTTCTTTCTCTCTTCTGCTTTTTTTTTTAAAGGTTTAACTAGAAAATTTTGTCATTTTTTAGGATAAAATCGCTTCCAGCAATCTCCGTCCCCAAAATTACATCAGCAAAACTTTTTTTCACTCCGTAAAAGTTTGTCATAGCAAATATTAGAGATTTGTTTCGTATAAATACCCGACAACTCCATTCATGGATGCTTTGCAAACCAGGATGTCTTGAATTGTAATCCATGTTAAATACTTTTTCTTTCAAATTATACTTACTTAAAAAGATAACTTAAAAAGAACTAAATTTTTTCGGTACTTTTGCATGAGCTTCTTTACTGGAAACAGAACAAGAAAGAGTTAAATGTAATATTCAAATATCTGAAAAAGTCACGTATGCATTTAATGTCACATATTAAGGAATGATTTTATTTCATTTCACCGACGAAAACGCTTCCGACCTTAGAACTGTTCAGAATTCATAATATTATTAAGGAAACAAAAGATATGAAAAATAGAATAATTTAGAAGCGAATGCTCTATAACTACAGTTTTTGTTTACATGTAAACAATTTATTTCTTTCCTCTGACATTTATTTTATTTTGCAACGATTCACTGCTTGTTAAAGGCAATTTTGATGTGGTGATTTCATGTTTATATGCACGTGGATAGCTCAAATAGCAGTAGTAGTAAAAGTCCTCTTTTTACACCTATGATTAAGTTACAAATAATGCGTAATGTTTTTTCTTAATCATGTAAACGTTTCTTCTTCCTATATAAGTTCCTCATTTTTCTTTTTTATTTTGCTTTTAATCGGAGATTCTTTCTGTCTCACGTTTCGTTACACTTCAGCGCATTTCACCTTCACTGAATCATTTGATGGTTTAAATCTTATTTATCATTTACCTAGTCGAAAATTCACCTGCTTCTATTATGTTGTTACTTATGCTCACTTGCCTGACGTAGTCATCCCAAGCCCACGAAATTCCTCGTGGCAAGAGCGCTATATTACGCCTGCCGTTGGCAACAGCCTACCTGCTTCTTTCTCATTGTGATTGTGCTAGTTCTGTAATTTTTGTCTCTTCTCTTTGAATGAGTTCCATAAGAATTTTGAAGGAGCCGCCAAACCGGTAGAGTGATTAGCGACGCTGACTGCCGTAGCGAAGCGCTCAGCTTCGAAACATAGGAAGATGTGTAGGAGACCCTCCTCCGGGGTGCTCTCCATCAAAATTGGGAACGGAATTGAACAAAGGCGCGCTGTCACATGTATAATCCTCAAGGCTGTTGCCAACGACAGGCGTCATCCTGCGCTGCGCTCCTTGCCAAGAGGAATTGCGTGGGCTTATGCTGAATATAGGTCAGACAAGTGAGCATGAGTTAACAACAACAACAACAATAGAATTATGAAGTCTTGAATCTTAATCTTCTTTAATATTTTATTAAACTAGACTTGAATTCCCTTTATCCAGACTCCAGATAGCCGTTACTCCATTTATCTGGATGGCTTATTCTTTGTAAACCAAATAAATTATTTCTTTTTAATTCGTTTTGAAATTCTTAATTTACACAATTAATAAAAAATAGCACAATACAATGCAAGTACGATATGCCGGTTAGTTTACAACATTCGGTAAGTAGCCTATAATTATTAATGGAAAGAATTTACCAGGCCCATATGAGCCTATAATTCTTTGTTCGATACTAGAATAACTTTATTCGATACTAGAATGATGAAAACCCAGATGATTTGTAAGAAAAGCCAATATATATTACGAAATTTACGGTATGGTATGCATTTCCATCACTAGCATATTGGGCTGTATATTTTCCAAGACAACAGAGAAAAGGCCCTAACTTTTAGTGCAGTCCGCTACACGCATATAGTCAGAACATTGCTGATGCAACAGCTCCCTAGGTTTCCGGAAATAATTTTTTTCCAGCCGGATAGGGATGCAAGTCATACTACTCGTGTGTCTATGGCGGGTTTAAGAGAACTCTTCCCGGACGGACGCGTATCCAAACATGGCGACATCTCGTGGCCTGCAAGATCATCAGATTTTTTCGTATGCGACCTTTTTGTTTAGGGATTTCTAAAGAGCAGGATGAACATTGATAGACTGCAAAACATACTGGAATTAAAAATGAATATCAGACAAGAAATTATACGGATTCAACCTGACTTGCTTCGCCGAGCGATAAAAAAATTTCGATCAAGATTGAAGAATATTTACACAGAAATGGCTCTCACATGAACGGCGTTATTTTTAAAAAGTAAAATGGAAGCCTTTACTCAACTCAAATGTTTAAAAAAATCTGATATTAAATGCTTCACGAAAAAAACTGTATATTTCTAATAATTCCCGTTCACCGGTCTTCTCATCCCACCTATAAATATATCATTTCTAATTCCCTTTTTAGTCTCTAGATGACAAGACTTGTTTTCCATCTTTTCTTTATTTTTCCTGTCATCTTAATTTCAGAAGGCGTCGTGTTTAACCACCCTTGTTTAACTTTTTCTCCAAACTTCTTCGATCTCTAATTCTGTTTGTTAAGCTTGTCTTGCATTTATTTATAGCTAAAGAATAGCATTTCCGGCCGTATACATCCGAAAATGCCCAGGTATGGCTAAAACAACCCCAAAAGCTACTACGAAACTAACTTAAAACTCTCATAGACTACTTGGCAAGGAACTGCGAAAATCTAAAAGCAATTTAGTTCTCTACCAGTAACTGGCACAAAATGCCAAGCAGATATAAAATGGTGCTCTACATATAAGTGAACCGCACATATTTTTCAACGGACACATAAATTTTCAACTCTACATCCTGATTTGTATTTCCCAGTGTCATCCTCAGTTATCAGGCAGACTATATATAAGTGCGTTGTAAGCGAACTGTAAGTGAATAACGCAAGTGACTACTATGAATGTGACAAGCAAATATTACATCCAAGTTACTGCGTTCTAGAGTAAATGTTCCCTGTAAACTCAGAATTCCATTGCATAAAACATTGCTAAAGACCTCCTTCAGCACAGTCAAGGTCTTGACAGAGTCTCTTTAATAACCACTGGTCACAACTACCCATTTTCCGAAGTAACTTTATAAATTCCGCTATAAACTTTAATATTCCATAGAGATTTTTGGCTGGGCCTGGCAACAACAGAATGCTCCACCAATTAAGTACAAATGCTTAAAAACGGATTTAACTTGTTTTATTGCATTATCTTTGTCGAAATGAAATATGATAAAAGAAACAATAAAATTATCTAAATTATAATACTATTAATATATATTTCACTTTTGGGAAGAAAAGAATTCTTTGTTACTTAGATGTTTTGAGTATTTAGAGGAGCTATAGTATAGTCTGTGTGAATATTTGCTGTTCGACATTAGTTTGTATTATTCTTCATAAAAACACGAATAGAACTGAAATTTATCATACCATTCGAGTTCAAGATGCATTACAACCATAAAATAAATAAATAAATAAGAAGACAAAAGTGTCTTTTAATTCATTGTTATTTAAAAATTTTTCCATTGCATTTGGAAAAGTAAGTAAAAAATTTCCTTTTAAATTTTCAGCATCAATTTAATGGAACAAAAGAAAGTCCTACATCTTCTCATCACATCTAAAGTACCTCTTGGTCAACCAAGAAATGCCGTTGGTACACTTCATCGCGCTTTCAACTTGCAAACGATTAAACAGAGTCCAGTAGCTGACTTTAAAGCTGTGATGGAAGCCATAGAGATTAATTATTTATTTCCTTTGTAAGTATGAATAAAATTGCTAAAGTATGTCTTGTCCATAAATAGAAAATTACTGCCTAGCAATGCGGAACAAGATAATTTTTTAATATTCCGTTTTATCTGATAAATTTATTGTTGAATAAACTTACTTAGTAACATTTTCTATTACTTACTTAGGAAACTTACTGCCAGATATTTATTTTGTAAGGATTATGTTAATTTTATTAACAGTTAAATTTTAAGTTAAAGTTCCTTTCCTGTCAAATTCTTAACTTCAACTTACTACTTCCGGCCAGAACGTAGTTTTGGAATTTGCTGAATATTTAATGAGAAGGAGCGGTATTTAAACCACGAAGTTACTTATTGGGATAGAGAGAGAATCAGAGTTTCTGAACTACGCGCGTCTGCCTTTTTGGCCTCTCTCTCTCTCAAAGCTGTTTAACGCTCGGCCGTATTCAGGCCCTTGCTAAGCTTCGTAGTAAAATAAGTTAAGGGGCCAACTCTCATTGAACCTTGATAGCTTTGGCTATACTTAGTTAGTTAAACTAAGATTAATTAATTAAGTATTAAGTTTAATTCTTAGTCTTTTAAGTTCAAGTCCAAAGTGCGGACTTTATTTGTTCACTCCCAGGCGGAGTTTTGTTAAATCTTATAGAAATAATAAAGGGTTATTTACCCTTCTCTCTTGTTGTTTCCTGTCTTCGAACTCTAGCGATTATTCGCTTATCAGTTCCTAGGTTCCTCACTTCCAACATTAACTTATAATTTCAAGTGAGGGACCTTACAATTTTACTAAATTTACTACTCGATACTGATTTATCTAGTAAATTTATTACTAGATAAATCAAGACACAATCATTACACTTTAGAGGATAAATTATTCTGATCTATTGTAAAGTCTAATCTTTGTTACTCATTAGTGTCACAGTCAACCATTTGGAAATTAAATGTGCTTTTTAACAATGTTTTAATGTTATTTCCATGAGAAAAATTGTATTAACTTGTATGAAATTAATACAATTAGTCGTAATTGTGTTATTATAATTAATGCACGATTCTGTCTGTTTTTAATGTAAAGTCTAACCACCCACGGTAGAATAGATAAGACACATAAACACTGCTATTTAGACCCAGATTCAAATGGTGCGGGAACGGGGTGTCTGCATGAATGTTTTCCTGGCTTTTCCTAATGTGTAACGCGAATATGATCCAAATTCACTTGAGAAAAATCCAAAAAAGTCCCCTCTCCCTCCGCAGAGAGCTCTTAACGTAATTTTCTTTATTTAAAATTAACCAAGGATCAATTTCTGCATCAACAGATTGATCTAAATCAACTAACCACGAAATAATGGTTTCTAGTTTAAAAATATATGTTTCTATTTAAAAAAAGTTTTCTCTATGTTTCCAGTTAAAATGTTTTTTATAAATGAAAATTTGTTTTTATAAATGTTCACGTCAAGGAACATGAGGCATATGTTAGAAAAAAGGAAACAGAGAAGTCTTCTGTTCCCCAACATTGTTGGTCCGAAAATCACACTTTCAATTTTTTCTGCTGCCAAAATTCAAAAAGAATCTTCCATTGGAGAACTGGATTTTCTAGAGGCATTTCAGATTAAAAAAAATCTTTTTGTTCTAGTTAACGATCCTAATTTCAATCCATCTTTGCCTTCGGCCTTTAAAGAAATTATGTTTTAGTTCAGGTTCTATCAACAGATGGCGCCACTAGTTTATTTTCTGTCCATGCTTTCTTATCTTATCTGATTATTGTATACTATCTCATTCATTTTGCGCTTTTGCAGCTGACGATGGTGGTTCGGTAAAACCATCGAAACTAGTCCTGTGAAAAATCTGAAAATATAACGCTGATTTTTGTTGTTTGACTTCTGAATATATACTAATGTTTATATGAATAAGCTATTAAAGTTACTGAAAAATCGCCTTAGATTAAAATTCTATCTGTTGTCTTCGATATTTCATCTGTTCTGCATTTTTTCCATGAAATCCAATAGCAGATAATCAGCATTTTAATTTCTCTTTCTCTATAACGTCATTTGCATTCCGAAACGTACGTTTCCCATAGCGTATTACGGCTCTTATCTTCTCTCGGAAAAGAATAAGATTAGAATATTATAAAGCATTAACTCTCTCCTTCTGGAATGTCTTCGTGGTGTAACGGTAGCACTCTCGGCGCCTATTCGAGAGGTCCAGTTCGAGTCCTGGCAAGTCATTGCTCATTTTTCACATCTTCTGCTTCAAAAAAACAACGTAATGACTCTACAGTGGCCCCGAACTAAAAGGTTCATTAATTTGTCACCATCAGAATTTTGCAATTGGGTCCCGTAATCCCCAGCCGCCCTATAAAAGGGGGAGTATAATAAGGTACTTTCTCCCTCCTTCCAGAATGCCATCGGGGTGTAACGGCAGCACACTTGGCATGTACTCGAGAGGTGCAAGTTCGAGTCCCGGGAATGGCGTTGCTCATTTTAAGCATCTCGTGCTTAAAAAAAAAATTAATGATTCTACAATATAAGTAAAAAGAATATTAAAGTGTGCGTTACCCTTGAAGGTTTTTATATATTTTATGAGAGTTACTAATTAGTTCTTGATGATTTTCTGCGTTTTAGTTATATAAGAATTTAGTTATATATTTTTTAAGAACTTATTCATCTCTGTACCTTCATACTTAGAATCATATATTAGTTCTCCAGTTTGAGGAACAACAGGAAGTTCATCTTTAATTTTGTTTTAACTAATTCTGATAATTTTATTTTAAGGAAACTCAAAGTCTCTCTTTTCGATCTATTTTTCTCATACATTTTATGCTGCGTTGATGGATAATAATTGCAAAGATATGAAGTACAGTTTTTGAGGATGTAAATGCATTTTAATAAAATATAATATCATGGCTTGATAAGAAGCGAAATATAACATATCTCTCTCAGAGTTGAAATGTGTCTCTCTTTATTAACAATGTTCTATTTCCATAAAAAGCAGCAGTGTTTTATGTATTCAAGTAATAATTTTATATATATTCAAGACATTTAAGAAATTTTTATTAAAAAAAATAGATTCAAGTAATTCAAGGTTTCAAGTAGTAGTTCAAGTAATAGTCGATTCTCAGCAGTATGCCTACATGCCATGAGTATTTTCGTAATTCCCGTAGCTTATCAAAAATGCCATTCTTATATTACTGTTTTTAACTTCAAAATGAAAACTTTTGTTAATATCGTACAATATGAAATAAATTATAAAAGTTCATAAATTAAAACTTGTGTTTTTAAGCTTGCAATTAAGGCTGAATCGCATTTAGCAGTTGTTACTGAAATGCGTTACAACTGAAAAACTGATGAATAAGAGTTATCAGATAACGAAAATCTTCATTAGTTAATTTTGAAATGAAAATGTATATATTTTTCCCAAGGTTTTTAAGTTCAAGCCTAACTTTATATACACTGCTTCTTATTACATGCTTTTGAAAACATTGAAAATATTAATTGAAAATATTAATATATTTGAAAATATATTTGAAAAATTATAAATTCATTCAAAGAATCTATCCGTAAGAATAAAACATATAAGTTTATTTGCATGTTATCTCAAATTAACAATTATGTAATTCTCTAATGTAATTTATAGATTTCGTTAGACAAGGCATATTTGATACACATACACATAATTCATTATATGCATTTCTTAACAAAATGCTCCAAATCACAGATAACTAGACAAACAATTTTAAATCAAATTGGAATGAAATGGCCACCACTTCCGGTCCTTGTAGTGGCGCAAGACTAATATCTGTTAAATAAAGCGCCCGGCCATTAAAAAAAGTTTCGAAGGCGAAACAGGCATAAATTCCTCTTTACAGGCACATTTGCTAAGAAAGTGCTCAAAAATTTTTTGCTTTTGAATACTCAGGAGCTATGCTTGATTACACTAGAAATCTATAGAAGTTGTTTTTTCTCTTTAATTTTTAATTACGAATTAAAGTGTAGGCAAAATTAAAGTAAAGGAGTTGTAGAGACATTAGTGTTTTTTTGGGGTGGGATGCAATAGATGTGAAAAATGAGCAATACCCTCGCCGGGACTGGAACCTGGTCCTCTCGAATATGCACCAAGTGTGCTACCAGTACACCACGAAGGCATTCTGGGAGGAGGAAGAAAATACTTAATAGAGAAATGAAATATAAAAATTATGTATAGTTTTATAAAAGCATTAATTTCACTTTGAATGTTTTCTCTGTTTCTTAGGCCAAAGAAGTATACGTCAACTCTTCTATGCAAGAAAGATGATTTACATCAATTTGAGAAAAATTTGACAGTCTTCTCTACCGATGCATGTAATTACCTTTATAAGAATCACTGGAAGAACAGTACCTCGACTTTCGCCCCAGAAAAATAGAAAGGTTTTGAGAAGAGATAGGAAACCGGAAAAGATGTACGTGATGTGCTATGGAATTGCTTTTGAAAATGCTTGATTTCAACAGATGAGACGCTGTAAAAATTTAATCCAATCTTATTTGTGTTTTTTAAAATATCCTAAATTTTATTTGCATACGAATGTTTTCAAAACAGAGCCAAACTTAAATGTTATCCATATACTTCCATGATTTTCGCCACAGATGTTTAGAAATATTTGATTGAAAGATATCTGAAAAGCAAAAATATTAACAGCCTCTTAAAATGGTTTCATTGTGTGTTAAAAAAAGGCACAGGAAATAAATAAATTGTAAAAGAACAAAATGCACACAGATAATTTGTTGAAACACTTTTCCTCCACTGAGTCTACTATTCATTTATTTGTTTTTAATTGAAGAAAGTATTAAAAAATTCGATGAGTTTTTATGCATTTTGATTTTTTGAAGCCGGTCTTGAAAAAAAATCTCTTTTGTATTCTTGGCGTTTATTGTGCTATACAGAGTGTTTATAATGAATTGTGTTTATAAATGAATGGTGTGGTTATAAAAATTAATAATAAATCTATATGTTACTTTATATCGGTACAGCGTAAGCAGAGGCAAATGTCCAAGTGTTTGATGCATTAATTGCAATCATTCAATATGTGCACCCTTTGTCACATGACACACATCTACACGGTAATAAATGTCTTCATACTGAGTAGCATGCCATCCCTGACGGTCTGCAGTGCATGCTTTATCCGACCACAAACTTCTTTAAGGGATATGGGGAATGGTGGTACATAAACTCGGACTTTAACAACCTCCAAAAAAGAAATCGCATAGGGTTGAATCCGGTGAACGGGGTGACCACGGGAGATGATTAGTATCTGCTGTTGTAGCACGTCCAATCCAGCGTTGGTGAAGAACCGGTTAACAAGTTCTCGTACATTCCTGTGAAAATGAGGCGGAGGATCGTCCAGTTGCAAAATGTAATCATCATAATTGGTGTTTAGCTAGGGTAACAATCAGGTTTCTGATATGTGTAGAAATGAGTCACGGATCACAGTGTTCGAGTTTACAGTTGTTCGAAGGTAAATAGACCTTGCACACAGAAAGTCTTTTCCAGATGCTGAGCCATCTTGGAAACTGCCGCTGCAGCTGCGCAGTAACCATGACAAGCAAAGAGCAGGTAGCAGATGAAAAACTTGGACAAACAGTTGCCAATGTTTATGATGTAAATTTAAAAATACAGGTAAGGTAATATATCGATTTATTGTTAATTTTTAAAACCCCACCATTCGTTTATAAACATCCTGTATGATGCAATATTCTCAAGGTTTCTGTTTATAAAGGACCATTTTAAACCAATAATATTTTTAGCCAATTATTAAACAACCAATAATTTTAGAAAAACACATAAACAACATTATGGTAGCATATTCTTGATTGAATGTTAAGGTTTAAGTGCGAAGAACATGATATTTAATAAATAAAGGTAACTCACAAAACGTTAAAAAGCGCCCCTTTGAGCGTAATATGAAACCTGAAATCTTTCAGGTTTTTTAAAATTATTTTTTGTTTTCGTTTAATCTATAATAATTTAGCAGTTAAGTAAAACTTAATAGTTTTTCTTTTGAAATCGTAGAATCAACTGTATGTTTTTATCTCGCAAATCAGTTTAAGGTAATCGCAGAGTGAAGTTTTGTTGAAACATTGGTACTAATTATTATCTTTTGTTAATAGAAACTCTTACTATTGGTATTAGTGATTGTTCACTTTTTGTACCTTTGCAGAGAACTAGGTTTTCAATCAATTATTTCCTATTTAGTAGAATTCAGATCTAAATACAGTCTCAGTTGAAATAAAATTAAACCTTATACATCTGAGAGAACTTAAAGCAGAGTGAATATTTTTTTTATGAATAATGGATTCATAAGAATTTCTTTCAACTGTTATAAATGGCACGAAACTGCGTAAATGTTTTGAGGAAGGAATGCTTCTGTAGATATTTAGCAGTTCTAGCCGAACAATACCATGTTGTTCTCGTTGGAGATATTTTAGGTATGAATGATGAATCTTAGTTAATTCGTACTTAATCTTACGGATCTCATAATCCACGTCCAAATTTATCAGCACCATAACGGTTCACCTCTCATGGATTGAATCCTCAAGGACAGAGAAGTAGTGTTATCGTGAACACAAATAATGATCACAATAATTAATTCACGCACACTATATAGACAACAAGGGACTCAATTTCGGTGAAGAAGCTTTTATAAGAAGATATCATAATTACAGCCTCTTATTTAATAATAAATGTAAATACGTAATAAATGCAAACGGTACACACTGTAATATGCTAGGCATTTAATTTTAAAAGTAGCTTTTCTTGTTTTAAGAAAAAGACTACATTTTCTTATAATTATCGAGTTATTAAGGCTATATTTGTCTTTTGAATTTACTTCCTAAGATTTGTTTTGGAAGCATGAAACTAAATTCTTAGCCGATTGTATAACCACTAGGCTATTGAAATCTATGAACACGCTTCTCTAATTTTCCGTTCAGCAAGAAAAGGTACTATTTAAATGAAGTTAAAATTTATGTTGAAGCAACAAAAAATAATTATTAAAGCAGCTTAGATGAAAAATGATTAAGCAGAAAAGAGATTAAATCAGGGAATTTTTTTTCCTAATCGATTGCTCCTACCCTTTATTTAAGAGGAAAAGAAAAAAAATGGTGGGAAAAATCTCAGTAGCTTTCTAAATTGCCTTATGTCTGACATACCCTAAGTATTTACAGTTTAACTGATGATTTGACATTAATCTTGTTATATGAAAAACTTTGTAAGGAAAATAAACTGAAGAGGAAGTTGTTACGTTATATAACATTATGTCAACTAAAATGTGATCAGATTAAAGACAGAAATTTGGAATTCGAAGGTAGAGTGATAAACGAAGAACATTGTTCTTTGGTGACCTAATTTCTTTTTTCCTAATTCGTAAACAACCTATAAAACTATGAAGGAAAAATATTCCACTACTTTGTGCGTAAAAATGAATGGGAAAAAGGATTTCATGCATTAAAATTAGGCAAAAAGCTATCTTGCATTAGAGAAAATTGATTTTCATTAAAACTCTGTCGATCTCAAAAGCCCATTTTTTAAGGAGGAAGAAAATGTTTAAAAATCTAGAGAAATGACAATCATTTTACGTCGAAAGCAGTGAACGAAGTTATACTGATATCGCTTTTGAGTTTTTCGACGGTAATAAAGAAGATTTTATTTGCTATGAATTCAATCTATCTATCTATTCAGTTTAGGTTTGAAATTGAATCTGAGAATTTTCTTTCTTTCCTTGACATTCTACTTATCCACAATGAATTTCTCTTTAGCGCTATTGTTTATCGTAAAATTTTTCTGTTTATTTGGCTGGATGTGCTAAAGATTGTTCTTTAGAATATTTGCTTTCTCAAGAACTCAGTTATTTGAAATCGGTTGCAACTGACAGAAAGTTTTCTTTCACAGTCATTAATAAAGCCTATGAAGCATATTCCTCTTGCTGTCGCAAGAGATAATCCGCTAGCAGAAATACTTATAACAGCCTTGTTGGTACTTCAAATCATGCTTCTGTTAATTATATATTGCTTAGATTTAGCGCAAGTTCATTTTACAGGCCATTTTCTCATCTATCAGTAAAGTTTATTGTTTGTTTATTGAAGATCCCAACTGTGATTTTAATTCCTGGGGAATACATAGGACTTCTTATCAGTGTAGTTTGGCATATATTGGCCAAATTAAAGGTACAATAAAATTTATTATTAAGAACACAAACTTTATGTTTGAAAGGCAGAAATAAACACATCATCGATAATTTAGAAGTCAAACAACAAAATTCAGCGTTATATTTTCAAATTTTCATAAGGACTAGTTTAGATGGTTTTACCGAACCATCATCCTCAGCTGCAAAAGCTTATGTTAGAAAAAAGGAAACACAGAAATCTTCTGTTGCCCAGCATTGTTGGTCCGAAAATCACACTTTTAATTTTCCTCCATCCAAAATTATTCAAAAAACATCTTCCATCGGTGAATTAGATTTTTTAGAGGCATTTCACATTCAAAAAAAAATCTTTCTGTTCTAGTTAAAGACCTTAATTCCAATCCATCTTTGTCTTCAGTTTTCCGCCAACAGACGGCGTCAGTAGCTTAACTCCTATCCAGTCTTTCTCATCTTTAGTCACTATATCTTATCTCGTTCATTTTGCGCTTTTTTTAGCTGAGGGTGATGGTTTAGCAAAACCATCGAAACTAGTCCTGTGAAAATTTGAAAATATAACACTGAATTTTGTTGTTTGACTTCTAAATTAATACTTGTTCGGCGTGTTATTATATCTTAAATCATCGATAGTTAACAATGATTAAGGTATCCAACTACGTTCTAATCATCAAATTTGATGAAATTTTTAAAAACAATTTTACTATTTTATTTTAAAAACTTATACATTAAATTTCTCAAAATTACTTTTATTTCGTCTCTACAGTAGTTAGAAGCGGACTTAATGTCTGTTCTTGTTGTTCTGTGTTGTGAACCGGAAATTTCTATTTAAGAATCCGGAAGCTAATGTCTAAAGTTATACATACTACTCTAAATAACTTTTGAATAAGAATTTTTTATTTGATTACTTTTGGTGATGTTCAAAAGATGAATTTGAACCTTTCTTTTTGTTATTAAATGCTTATTAATAAGATTGGTTTTTGCTATTTAATTTTCTTTTCCTTCTCTTCTCCTTATCTTCTTCCTTATATTAAACCTATTTTTTGGAAAACTTTTATTTTTCAGTTTTCTGTTAAGAAAAAATTTCAAGTTAAAATAGTACTATAATAATATTATGAAACTTTCCACAAATATTCTACGAAATACTGTGAATTAAATGGACTAAAGGTTTAGGTTTATGTATATATCTAAAATTTTTTTCAGACAATTTTGCAAAGGAAAAAAGCGAAATTTCTCGAAAAATAGCTAGTGCATTTACTCAAACAGGTATATTTAATAGACATTTTAATTTATCACTCTGATTTTAGTTTACTTAAATCCTGTATATTTTAATAAAATATTGATAAATATTTTTGGAAACATATCTAATAATGCTGAAATTTAACACATTTTTAATCCAAAATGTAAGAGAAAACAAAAATTATACTTGTTGATATTGATAATGTTGTTGACTTGATAATATGTTTATTACTTGGTTTTATCATTTTAAGTATTCTTCTTCTAAATCACATCAATAATAGATTTATTTGTACAGTTTTTCAAAATTTGGGTGCCGAACGTAGTCGGATACCTTAATCACAATTTTGGCGGCCGAGCGGTAAGTCGCCGAGTACTGGCAGTTCGGTCCGGGTTTGGAACCAGAACGAAAGGGCTGTCTGCAT